CAGGCATGTTCGACGCATGCAAACATGCTTGGAACATGCGTCATGTCATGTCTGCGACCAATCGCAATCACACCGTGCTCGTACTTCGTAATCAACGGACGCGTGTTCGGGGCGACGCGAACGCGAGCCATGCGGCCCAGAGCGTATATACGGTGTTGAACCTAACAGATTTGTTTAAAAAGCCGGGAAAGCTACGCCAATGCGCTTTGTGCGGGTGAGCTTACAGCCAGGGGGACATAGTACACGGGGCTAATCGTAGCGATCAGACGGCTGATTAACGAAAATGTGTCAATTAAATTTTTGAATATCGAAAGTAACCTCTTCTTAGGAACTTGATGAGCGTCATCGAAAAGCAATAAATCGGCCTATATTAGGAAAACTCGCGCAGTTTTTTTCGTCTTTTATCGTAGCCCCGGCATTGTGCATCTTGCACGAGTGCTCTTCCCACGCGCTCCAGGTCTTTCTAAGATTACCGATTTACTGCTTTTCTCTGGCGCTCATCCAGACTCTAATTGAAAGCATATGTCTATTTTCACTATTTAGAAAGTTGACAAATTTTAGTGAAATGTTTACTTATCGTGCCGATTAGCACCCTATCTATTATGTCCCCCTGACCACATAACTTACATGCACAAACCGCATTAGTGTAGCGTTCGTGGCTTTTATTTATTTTTTTTTTTTAACAAATCTGTCGAGAGAAACACCATGGATGTTACAGAGGGATACGTTTTCATGGAAACAATGTTTTCAAATAATAGTGGAAACTGCTGGCTGAATGCCGTCTCTTCGCTAGGTCATCGTAAGTCGACTAATTAACTAAAATATGTTAACTCACTTTTAAAGCATAAATCCCTTTCTAACCATACCCCCCAACCCCCATATTCCCGGTCCGTCCGTCCGTGCGTTTCCCGTTAAATTTAGCGGGGAAATCGATTTCACCTGACCTACACACGAAATCAGTTTCCCCGCTAAATTTGGTGGGAAAATTGATGTCAAGTAACCCGTAAACCCGGTTCTGTTTTGTGGGGAAATTTTGTTTGGAAAATGATGTCACTTGACCGCACGTGACGTGAGCTATACACTAATTCAGTTTCCCCGCCAAACTTGGCGGGAAAATTAATATCACGTAACCTGAGTTTCCACGCTAAATTTAGCGGTAAATTTGAAAATTCAGTCCTTTATGCATTTCATGCATTATGGGACTTCAAAAATAAAAGTCGCTGCCAATTGTTTTTTTTTTTTTTTTTTTTGGGGGGGGGGGGGGGGGGTGTTACGTTGCAATTGCAGAAACGACGGTGATTACTATTTGAGGCCACACCAAATAAAATAATTCGCAAAATTGTATTACTTTTAAAGAAATTAATTCATAATTTTCATTTTTTTTTAGCCCGATTTAAGAATTGCTCGCTAAAAGCGCGCTTCTTGCGCGCAATTTTAAAATCGGGCTATAAAAACGTAGAAATTGAATCGTTAATCTCTCAAACAGTAATAAATTGTCGCAAATTATTTTAATTGGTCCGACCTCTAACAGCAATTCCGCCATTGACCGGTAAAACGAAGTATTAAAAAGTTAATTAACCGAGTTGAGGTGACTGGCTAACTTGCCATGACGATTATACTCTCTCAAGCTAATGTCCACCGAACGAAGTGGAAGCTCCTCCCACCCCTTTCCACTTCGGCGGAGCGAACGCTGGAGAGGAGGCGACCTCCTGTCCAGCGTTCGCTCTACTACTAAAGTAGAAAGAGGTGGGAGGAGCTTCCACTTAGCAGTTTGCACTATTTTCTCTTTTAATTGTGTGCGCAGCGTGGCTCAATTGCCTCGGCGTCGCCGCTATCATTCGGCCCCCCACCGAGCGCAATGGTGGCGCTGCGACGTCAATGTGGAGCGTCGGGTAACGATGATGTAGTGCGAGTGCGGGTGGTGGCAGCGTCCTTGCGGGGCTGGCGTTTCTCTTCTCATTCTTGGTTTCTTCTTGAATAATCCGCCTCCGTAGTGTGTGCGGGATCCCCCTCGTAGCGGTATACAGTTCCCGACAGAGTTGCGCGGGCGCTGTCACTCGATTGCACGAGAACACGCGGTTTTCAAAGGGGGCAGTAAAGTCCGTGTGCTGTTCCCGCTCTCGGTAGCGGTCGTCTCTTTCCTGGCTTTGATCGGTGGTCTTCAACTAATGAGTCGCTAATCGGTGGTTTCATTTGAAATCGAACACGCTTGTCGGGGTGGGTCTTTCGATTAAAAGAAATGTGTGTGCGAGCGCGCGCGCGCGTGCGTGCGTGTGTGTGTGCGTGCGTGCGCGTGCGTGCGCGCGCGCGTTTGTTTTATTTTTGTAAAAAAACAAAACCACCTTTCACATTAAAAAAAAAAAAATCTTTTTCGCTTTACAAAAAAAAATATTTTACTCCATGATTTTTCTACCCAGTTTTGTTTGCTGGTATGAATGCGGAAAACATACAGAACTCAGAGTACTATTTTTAGATCAAAAAACAATATTTTTTTTTTTTACTGAGGTAAAAAATGCCAAACATCGTCTCTTTGACAATCTGGTGGCATAATCAGAGCTTTGTATCTCTTGAGTTATTATATTTGTCACTTAACAAATTCTATCCGGATGTAGTCTTATAAGGGCTATCAATGGGCATAAGTTTAATTTATTTTATTTTCACCGGAATGTTTTATATAAAATCTTAAATATCGTCAAAAATGAGATTTACCGATACTTTGAACCCGCTTTATCGAAGAGCGGTCCCACTTTTTTTTTATTCCATTCAATATTTTTATTATTGCTACCATTCATATTAACTTTCAGTTGGCTTGATGTGATTTCCCTCTTTTTTATTGTATCTTCCCTACAAGTGATCGAAATCGCACCTACGTTCCCGCAACGGCCAAACTCCGTTTCTGCAGGTCGACTTTTCAGCAAAGAATATACTGCTTATTTTTGTGTTAAAATTTAGCGGGTAAATTTATTTTGATTGAGAACACTCATGCTTGGCTGCATATTGTATTTTCTTAATTTTGTAATGATGGCAACTGACATTCCTTAGTCCGATAGTTAGCGGTGCAGCGGTTGTTCCATTATCCGGTGTGTAAAGCCAGGGCACAAGGGCGGAAAAAATGGAACGAGATCTTTGTGTAGCCAGACCAATGCCATATGTCTGTTTGTGCTATACACAGCTTGACATGGGTGAGCACCTGGGTTACCGTGATAGGCTCAGTAATAATGCTCAGTGCTATTCCAGGGGCCCTAACTTGGACACTTAGCGAAAAAGTCGGCGAGAAATCTGGCGGCTATGATTGGCCGGCGCCATGGTCAAGTATGGCGTTGGCGAATCACGGCCACCAATTTTCTCGCCGACTTTCTCGCCAAGTGTTGAGATTAGGGCCCCAGGTCTACTTTTCTGTCTTTGTGGTAGGAATTGATCTCCAAAATTAAAAATCTGTGCCGAGAAAAAAAAATGAGGTCTATATTTGAACAAATTGTAGTCAAGGTTGTTCCCTTGCGGCGGTCGATCGAAAGAACAGCAAACTTTGACCTCACTATGGTTCCAACGCTGCTAAGGAGCAGTGCCATTTGCACAAGTGTAAGTTTTCATAATATTTGGGGGTGGTTGTTTTGGCAGTTCATAATAGTAGTCTTGAGTATGTTAGTCTTGAGCGTCCTCCAAGTATTAAACTTGGAGGACGCAGTATCGTTGATAGACAAGCAGGTTTTTGTAAACATTTTACAGAACTTATATGTGTATACAGGCTCAATAAACTACCGGCTGTTAAAGTACAAGGGGGGAGAAGCTTTATCCTAACCGGAGCGTTGTGCTACGATTCATTTTTTATCAACTTTTAGCACCCATTGTAATTAGAACCTTCTCTGACTAGAGCCTTATTTCTTAAAAGAAGGCTCTGTGTTCTTTTGGTGCCCTATAGTATATCTATTCTTTATTGGAAAGGTAAAAAGTAATATGCTCTAGTATCAGGGAAGAACCTTCAGCCATTATCAAAGATGACATCATTTAGCGATGCAATCACTTTTTAATTTTCAAGTGATGTGCTAACAGATGTTGGCGTCGGCTCCAAAGCTATGTTTTGCCTAATACAGAACCTGCTAAAAAAAGGCGAAATGCCGCCTTTAACACTGCAACTGCATCCTGTGCAAGCATTTCCTCTTCCCATTAGAGAAGCGAGGGTGTCGCAAGGATGTTGCCGTTCTGCAAAGTGAAGCAACCAGCGATTAAACGGTCCAAGTTTTCTCATCCAATAAGATGAATTAATGTTACATTGCATACTAATTCGTAATGAAGAAAGTGGACGAGATTTTTTTCGATAACAATAAAAAAGTTGTGGTAAAAATGTTTATTTTTTAAAACACTCTTCGAGACAAAGTTTAAGGAAATTTCTCGTACATTTTTTTAAATTATAATACTGAGTATGCACTGTAAAAGTATCACCCTCTTGACATGAATACATTGTAAGAGAAAAGTAAGAAGCACGTAGCAATATTTACCCGTTCATTACCAAACGAAATATTAGTTTGCCATAGAATCGCCAAGTATACAGGGAACATGTTAGAAAAGGTACTTTTGTGAATGTTTGTTTTAATCAAGAAAAAACCGTTCTGTACCCATTCAACGTGGGGGACCGGTTAGAAACTGTATATGCTTTTAGTTACTCTATAGGACCGAAGCCTTAAATGTCTATGGCGATGGAGCTCGTGGTTCTCGCTGGTTCTCGGATTTACGGTGCTGCACTGTCTGCATCCTGGCAACGACGGCCGAACGAGTCCAAAAAGAGCACTGCTTGATAATAGGGACTTTTATCAAACCGTTACCGTGTTCCGTGCACCACACTACCGAAGCCTTTGAAATACGCTTCGCGCTTCAAAGCACGCTTCAAAGGCTCCGGTAGTGTGGTACGTGGAACATGGTAACGGTTTGATAAACGTCCCCAATAAGAGTGTGAGTCGTCGGCGGCGGTTCTGACCGGCTTGGGTGTCTCTCTGTTCCCGCAGCTATCCAGTCCTTGGACTCTCTGAACGAGCAGATCGTCCGTTACGTGCTGGGCTCGGAAGACAGCGGACACAGGCAGCCGCCGCAGCCACCGCCGCCCAGGCCCCAGCTCGCGCCTCCCCTAGAGCCGCCGGTGAGTGTGCGCGCTGCTTCCACGAGGCGTCAGCTTGAACTTACAGAATTAGACGTTGAAAGGACAGGACAATACATAACAGCTCACTAACAACTTTGCTTTAGTACTCTTCTTCTTCGCATCTGCAATCATTGTTTTTACAAATTATTCATATATACATAAATTAACTATTAGTTTCAAATAATATTTAAATAATAACAATAATAACAACAAGGCTAGCGGTTGTGGTAACGCGCCCGCGCGATTGTTTCGTCTCTTATGAGAGCCCCAACATTGTACCTGCTCTACGAGTGGTAGCTTTGGCGCACTACTGTGCTTCTCACGCGTTCAAAGTCTTTCTAAAAATTACTGATTTAGTGGTTTTGGACGACGCTCAGCAAGTTTCTAATTGGAACCATATGACTATTTTTACTAATTATGAACTTTATTAACAAATTTTACTTAATTAGCTGACTGATCATTACGATTATCCCAACATGCTATGCCCCCTGGCTGTATAACTTACCTCCACAAACCGCATAAATGTAGCTTTCACAGCTTTTTTTTACAGAAATCCGTAAAGCTTAAAAAGAAACACCCTGTATATGTAGAAATATACATCACTCTCCTCGCTTAATGGTTCTGCACCCTCCTCCTCCTCCTCTTCTGTGTCCTCTTCCTCCTTTGTACCCTCCTCCTCTTCCATACCCTCCTCCCCCTCCCTCTCCTTCGTATCCTCCCCTCCTCCTCCTTCCTATCCTCCCCTTGTCCCACAGTTTCCCTTCTAGATTTAGCTGGAACATTGGCGCCACGTGACCTCAACACCAATTCAAATTCCCCTCTGAATTTAGCAGGGAAAACGACGTCACATAATAATAATAATAATCTTTTATTTTCCTTTTTTCATTACAAAACGAAAAAAGGTGGAAAGAAGGGCAAAAAGCTGCTACTGCAGCTTGACGAAACCCTAGTTCCCATACACACCTTGGCGGAAAAACAGCGTAAAATGAAAACACAGTAGACCCAAAAAATCAAATATACACCAGCACACCACTCCAATCATTATACTTGTTTATGTAGAAAGTTAACTAAAAGACATATGCCACTCAGATAGAAACAATTTTACAACACATGCCTGACACTACACGGTGGCATATGGAAAATGAGATTGTAGTAGTATGTTCACTAACATTCGATTTGACTTTCTATATATGCACATATCATTTGCTTCAGGTTCATTTAGTAAAGATGGCAACACATATTTTAATAATGTAAAACCATAATTAGTATGGCGTGTTGAAACATTCCAGGTCTCGCCTTGGTGGCGGGTAACATATTTATGATCTAACTTAGTTAAACATGACAGTGCAGAAATGAAAAAAGTATGTTTTAAGGCTACATAATAAGTCACCAACAACCAAAACTTGTGCATTTGTTCAATAGGAATTACACGATGCTTTAAAAAGAGTTCCTTAGAAAGATGCAAAAAATAAACATTTGAAACAATTCAAATAGCTCTCTTTTGGGTTTGTAGTAGTCTTGTTTTGTTGTTTGGCCCCAAACTAAAATACAATATACATAGTGAGTATAAACCAAAGAGTAATATAAAAGTAATTTTACACTTGTTGGAAAGACATAACGGTTTCTACAAAGGAGACCTATAGATTTACTAGCTTTTGTATAGACAGATTCAACGTGCTCATTCTATGACATGACTTTGTGTCACGTCAAATATGAACTAAATCAGTTTCTCCGCTAGATTTTTGTGGAAAATCGACCTCACGTGACCGCAACACCAATTTAATTCCCCGTTAAATTTAGCGGGGAAACTGAATTGGGTTTGAGGTCATGTGACGTCAGTTTCACCGCTAAATTTTGCTGGGAAACTGATTCCGCAGTGTTGCATTATGGGACATCACAGACCTACACAGCAATTTAGTTTCTTCGCTAAATTTAGCAGGGAATTCAATTGGTGTATAGGTCTATGATGTCCCATAATGCAACGCATGCAGTTACACCGACGGGGACACCGGCGACCACTGTACATGGAAATGGGTGCCTAAGAGCTGCTCTCTAAGCATATATTTGTACCCGGGATGTTTGGCTCTTTTGAATTAATTTTTTTATTATATTACATTGTTTGATATACATTGTGAGATGTTGATTCAGTCATGGCCAATTTTCTTGTCCTAACTGCAAGGGTGTGCTCAAGACTAATTAGTGAGGTGTATTTTCTTATCCAGAGCATAAACTCAGGTGGTATGATGTTTTTGTAAGTCATATCATCCCAGCACCACAACTCCCCCCCTAAAACAAATTTCTGGCTATGCCAGTGTTGTGCCGTGTACATCAGAGATGTCACAAACTTTTGACGGTTCGGTGGATCTTCAAACATTGAACGAAATTTGACAAGATATTCCACCTTTTGAACAGTGTCCAACTTCAGCACTTCAAATTTTTTGAAAATATATTTCAACACCAGTGTGTTACATATTTTAGGGAATATATTGACTGGTGCGTGCCTTGTTCAGCACGAGGACCAGGCGGATTTTTTGGTCGCGCACCACTCACCTAGTTGTGTTTGGAGATTTGTGTTTGTCCTTTGTCCCCCTTGTTCCCTTTCTCTAGAAATTATTTTCGTCATTCTTGTCCAGCTCACTTGTACCTTTGCATTAGTAATTGCATTATCATCATAACAGGCCATTTACCCTTGTTGCTGTTAGGCTGGTGGCAGCTGATAAAACCCATTTGCTCTACTGACGTTTAACTCCTGGTTAGCTCAGTTGGTGAAGCACTCCACTGGAAATGGAGAGATCTCTGGTTCGATACCAGGACCAGGTGGATTTTTTCGGTTGCGTACCAATCACCTAGCTGTGTTGGGAAATTTGTGTTTGTCCTTTGTCCCCCTTGTTCCCCTTCACCAGGGATTATTTTTGTCTGTCCTGCCTACCCTCTCTTGTCCTTGTCTCTTTTGTGCCATTTTATTTGATACCTAAACATGTGCCAACTATCTTAGTAACATGCTTTAAAGGGACATTGACAGGGTATTTATGCTCGCCGAGGTTTTATTTGAACATTACCTGTAAGAGCTCAACTGCCCAGAACATAATTTCAGGCTCGGTATTCACTTTTTTCCGCCCGATAACAGCCAGTCGAGAATTGGCCAGTTTCAGTCACACTCACTCTCTTTTCCATGTGGTGTTCAAACTATGTGTACCAAATATATTTGAATTCATGGGTCATCTGAGGCACACATTCAATATATTAAGAATAGGAAAGAATATGAATTCCGTTTTTGTATGTGGCCTCCAAAAAGCTGCAAATACGGTCGAACAAAAAAAAGATGTCGCACAGATCACAGGAAGTACATGTACAGATCATTCTCAATATGGGGACGTACTACAAAGTGGACAACGCGATGGCAGCACACGAAGGACCAACGTTGCGAAGGACGCGAGGCCGCTACTTTGGAACTGTCGTTCCTGGTACTGGCCAATCAATCTTCAAGCGCAGAACACAGAGGGATATAAGTGCAAAACAGTCGCATGACAAACAGTGAACGCAACTTCGTCATCGTCTGCTTGACACGCCAGAGAAAGAGAAAGAAAAAAAGTGTGGCCGGGTGTAGCCGCATGATTTCCAGCCATGAGCTTCTGTGCTCGTGTTTCGGTTTCGAGCAGTTGAGTTTTTTCGCTTTATTAAAAATGTGTGTTACTCTGCAGCAAAATATTGATTGGGTAGTCTCCTGAGTTTATAATAAATTGCCTGGCAAAAAATAAAAAATCATGTTTTGGGGGAGGTGTCAATGTCCCTCTAAGTTTGCTACCGATGAAGGTTCCACCCTTCCTGCGCCAGGCGGCATCAGCTCATTTCTATTTTCTGCACATGCTCATAATAGTCTGCTTGTGTGGAACTTTGTGTTGGATGTTCTAAAACATCGAACTTGATGGAACTCGAACCTCGGCTGGAGTGTGACATCATGATTACGATTAAAGCCTGAAGGGCTGCCTTCAGCAGCTGGGGTGGGTCTAGTGAACTTTGCTAATCCAGACTCTTGGCTCTTGAAAACCCAGTTTCTGGGAGTAACCTGATATATTGAGATGAAATCAGGTCTTTTAATAGTAGCCTGAACATCGTAGTTTGAATGTAGCACACTGATGTTTTTGTGCAGCCTAGCTGATTGGTTGATCTTTATTGAAATCAAGCTGGACACCTACCATCTTCATTTGCCAGTTTTCGAGGCAAAAGTTGTCGTCTGCAAAATTCATTGTTGTGAAAACTTCCAAGCATTTCAAGTTTAGATCTGGATTTTTGTACTTTTTGATGGCATTAGATTGTATATGCTAGTAGGATGGGAAAGTGATATGGCTGAGTCCAGATTTTTATGGAAAGGTTTGGAGCTGTGTCCATAGAAAAGAGTGTATGTATGTTTGTATGTTGGATTCATTTCATAACTATGAAAGACAGTGCATTTTCAAGCTTCAGTCTTCCCAAATGTAGATGGGAATACAGATACATCTATGGGCGATTACATTTTTTACAAGTAGTTTTTTTTAGCTTGCAGAACTCCTATTGGCTGCTGTCTTAAAATTTCATTCCTGTAACTACTGAAACTTTTTTTTCGGAATAAATTATTTTGAACATTCTAGCACCATCTAAAGTGAAACCGTTTGAACTTTCAATTGGATTTATCTCAGCTTCACTTTTTGGCATCAAATTTCAGTTCAGGAAAACTATCATTTCGTAATAAATTCTGTGTGGAGCCAGTTTTAGAACTTACCATATTAAAATTTTGAAAGGAATGCGGCAGTGAACTTACTTTTTGGATTTTCATGTTCTTTGTTATGAAAAGTTGCAGCTTTTTCAACCTAATACATGCCAGAAACAGATTTTTCAAATTTTTCTTTTTTTTATTAAAATTATGTTGTCTTTGTAGTTTCTTTCCACAGCCGCATAACACAGGCGTTATACCGTATAAGTCATTGAAAGAACTGGAAATTTTAATTACCACTTCTGAACAACAGTTTTCCTCAGCAAGAAAACTTTTGTTCAGAAGTGCAGTGTTTATTTGACATAGTTTTATGAAACTCTTCGAAGGACTAATTTATAAAGATATGCCCTATAAATTTCGTACGAATAAGACTAATGGTTAAACATTCGCCTTTCAAACCAGTGTCCTCCCTTACAAGAGTTTCCTTGTGCACAGGTTTCTCTGATAGCTTTGAGCGAATGCCTGTTTGCAAGGAGATTTGGCAGAAGGTGACGCCATTGGTGCCTTATATGTAACTGTCCCCACTAAACACCTCAGCGAACTGCTGGGATTTTTTAACACTTCCTCTGTTTTAGTACACTAGTTAACTCCCATGTTTCTTTGTGTCCTCGTGCATTGTATGCTTGGGACAGGGACACCTTGCGTGTCATACTTTGCTATTGATGACTTGTTACGCTGGTACGGAAAGGACGTGAAGATTAGAACAGTGCTCTCAAATAGGGGTTCCAGAAGGCCTTCTTAGGGTCCCTGAAGCCCTCGCCTGTCAATCAAGCCGAGCATTATTAATTTTTCTAAACTTATGCTAGCTGTCCCACAAAAATAAATTGACTAAACGATATGGGCTGAGTGAGTATAGGGTTGATTATTCCTCATTTCAAAGCTTCAAAGTTGGTATGCATGCATTTAGCATTGATCATTCACCTCTCTTTTTTTTGGTAATTGTCCAATAACCTTCCCCTCCCTGCCTCCCGTGGATGGGGTTGAGATCGACTGGTCCATCCCCATTTCTTTGTCCTCGTTCCTCCGCAGCCGCGTGGCCCTGGGAGCAAGGAGTGGGGCCACGAGGTGTTGTGTGGGGCCCCGGCTGGGGGCTGGGGTCGCCATGAGCAGGAGGCGCTGCAGTCCTCCATGGCGCTCATGCGCAAGCTGCTCGTCGACGCCCAGGCAAAGTTCCGCAACATGATGGAGGACAACAAGGCACTCGCCTCGCGCATCGACGGGGACCTGCACCAGGTGGGGGTCAGCAGACCGTCCGGGCATCGGAAACGTTACCCCAGTTGCGCGTGCTTTTCAATCTGTAGAGAGCGTGACGCATCCAACGAATAGTTGGCTAATTGCTCTAGGCACTATATAACCTCAAAGGGATAAGCACCACGACACCTTTGCCTCCTGGTGCTTGTCGTCATAGCTTATGCTCGTTCAGGAATGGCAAAGCGCTGAAAATGTTACCGACTTTTCAAGTTTGACGTATCACTGTGGTCTTTCTTTTTAGCATGAAATGAATTGCATTGTAAGCTTTAGGCATTGAGAAAGTGATGCAGCATTTTTTATAAGAAAAGAAAGATAGAAAAATTATACCTTTTTGTTGCCAAAATGGACACCAAAAGGTTTCTGCCAAACCTAAAAAAAAATTGACACTTTGAACAAAATACCAGTTCCACCCACAGAGCAGGCATAGTAATCTTAACAAATAATCCCAGCAGAATTCATGTGTGTGCATATTTGTTTCTGCTTCTTGTGCACAGCAAGTGTCTAATTGCAAATACTGCTGTATGTCGAGAAATTTCATTCATACAAAATCTGCGCCTTACAGGGACCATCATGTTAAACCTGGTTCACACAGCTGCGCTGGTTTTGTTCAGAGCAACTGAAACAACAGCAATGACGAAGTCACTGTGACAGGTGTTCGACAGAAGCCTACAGTAGGCAAGCAATGCAAGAGGTAGCTTTGTGAAGCAGTCTTAAGTCATGGGTGTCCCAGTGTCCCGGTCGTTGCTGTCATTGTGCCTGTCACTGTGGATGGTTGCAAAAGTGTTATGAACAAGCCTTTAGACCCCACTTCTCTTTTGTGGCACACAAGATGAAACCAATGTAAGCATCAGTTGGGTCATATGGGCCTGCAGAATGGGCAAAGTCCTAGTGCACCCCAGATGGGTCTCCCAGTTTATGCTTGGAGGGCCTCTTTATTGGCATTGAGATGTCTCGATGGCTAATGGTTTCTAGCCATGACGTCACAACCAGGTTTATCAGTTGGGAACGAAAATAAGCTTGAAGGTGCGTGTAAAAAGCATGGTGGAAGCTTGGAATCGTTGCTTTCTTTGTAGCATTGTGAGATTTCTCGAATTTTCGAATTGCAGCTTTATAGAGTTCTCAGTTTGATATTCGCTCTAAGATGAACTGTGGCATTCATATTTTTTTAGGGGTGTGCGAATAGTGATTTTTCAAACCGAATCGAATACGAACCGAATAATTGTGGCACCAAATCGAATACGAATATGAATCGAAAAATTTTCGAATAGTTTCCAAATAGTAAATAGACAGCTACTAAAGAAGAGCAAAGTGATTATAAAATTATTTTTATTGTTCCAAAATGTTTCTTAAAATTATTGTGAAAACGCGATTAGACGATAATGACTAGAGTTCAACAATATATAATTAAATAGAGACAAAAGGTACGAAAATATTAGAATGCTGAACATAATATCACGGTTCATGCGGATGCTAAACATAAAATCAAAGTTTCCTTTTGCCTGGCACATCCTGAAGCATTGCACTTAGTAGAAACTCTACATTCTCTTTTTATTCCTTGTTGTAGCAGATGTATTTGAATAGAGAGGATCAAGAAAGGTGGCAAGGGCGTGATGTGCCTGTGTGCTTACGTCCAGGAACCTTGTTTTCACTGATCTGAGAAAATTCTGAGAAAACGCATTGTCTTGTTCCACTTGCGTCCTCAAAAAGCAACATCTTCACACACTGAACAAGTGGAACAACCATGGAAAGTGTTGGGAAAGACTCGACACAAGCAGCTGTTGTGGCTTCTTCAGCGGCCGAAAAACTTCAACACTCTACTGCACTTTCTCTTCGAACAACTTCCCGCTTCTACAGAGCGGCAGTACTGTTGCAACCAGTTCTGAAACGTCTCTACAACACGCTTTCCGAATGCGTGCACGAGCAGTCTCGTGCGAAAGCGGTCCCTAAAGGCTGAACCGCATGTAAGCGATTTAGCAAGCGACAAGATTCAGCAGCGAGCGACGGAGATTTCTCACTGTTGCTCGTCGCGTCACTCAATGTTTGGATTTCTAGGAAATGTCCTCATCTCCTTAGTCGCTTGCTCACGCCACTTTGATGTGGCTTGCCTCATTGCGCGACTGACCGAACGACAGCAAAGTGGGTTGATGTCGCCTGTCGCGTCTCTCGGCAAATCGCATACATGTGGGTTATACTTAACGCGGTGGTCCCTAATGGAGGCAACCGCAACGTACGCATAGAGAGAAACTGCTACTGCTGATGATGACAATCATTGTATAGGAGAAGAGAGTATGTATTGCCATCTTGCGGGCACGTATGGCAGGCGTGCTGGCGCGTTGTGGGACGCCTATGAAGGGAATCTCCCGGCGTGACACTGTAACGACTATTCGGAAATTATTCGAAACTTTTGAAAATTATTATTCGATTCGTTATTCGAAAATGGCGAATATTTGCACATCCCTATATTTTTCTAATTGTTGATCGCGGCAGGTTAGACCCGCTGAGCACGCTTCTTAGTGATCATCACTTTGATAAGCACCAATATTGCAGTCGTGTGCTTAAAATTAAAGTGCACTTTCAAAGTGTGATGGTGGACACGCGCGTCTGGTGTATTTAAAAAGAAATGAAAATTTTGCGAATGTAGATATTTACACCACAGTAAAACTTTCATCATTAAACTGTGGCTATTAGGGAAGAGTATATGTTAGGCAGAAATGTCCTGACAACCTGCACCCATAATTCATGATTGTCTTTCCCTTTTTCTTGAATTCGAGACCTAAGAAAGGTTATTTGCATATAGCAAGAAGATTTATAAATCTCTGTTTCAATATAGTTGGGCATCTCTATGTTTACTTTGCGTCCCTGTTGTTGTTGTTGTTGTTGTTTTTTTTCTTGCACTATTTTGTGTGTTTAACATCTCTATAGGTTTAATTTTATGTCATATGCATCATTTACTTGTCTTGGCAATAGTATAGGCATTGACTTGCTGAGGCCACAGTTCATAAATATAATTAGATTAAAATTAGCTTAGAAGTGGACAAGTGGAAGCTTGGGAGCAATTAACCTTCACAAATTTAGCTGGGTTTTTGTCTTTGAGCTTGGTGCAGTAGTGAAAAGCTTAGAGAAAATATTCCCACTATTTGCTTCTAATTTCTTTTGAACTCAAAATCCGCCATTCGCGCATGGCTAGTTCTTAGACAAACATTTTCGAACTTGACAGCCTGACGTTACTCCTATTTCCATCCCTCATCATCCATCAAGAAGTTAAACTCGGGCTCCTCCCAAAAGGCAGACGACCTGGAACCGAAGGCTCTAGTTGGGTTGGGGAGAAGTGAATATTGACACGCGATTTACATTCTCGAAGGGTTTGATGATATGTCAGTGCGACCCCACAGGCCCACCAGGAGGTCTCCCAACTGCGTGCCGAGCTCCAGGACACCAACAGCCGGATCGCCAACATGGCCTCTGTGGTGCAGGCACCGCCGTCCTCCCAGGGCTCGGCCAGCTGCTCGGTCATTTCCTCGTATGCGCAGGGCTCGCCCACACACAGGGGAGGCGGCAGTCCCCCCAGGCACTGCCCGCGCTGCCGAGGTACGTCTTCTCACCTTCCAGTGTCCATTGCAGAGCGTCCCCTTCCACACCACCTCATGTTGACCTCTGGGAAATATCAAGTGTGTCCCAATTGGTTACGTGCAGCCACGTGATCGATAGGAGGTGAGAGGCTCGGCTCGTAATTGGTGGTCAACCTAAAGAACGGACAAATGAATGAATGTTACAAATTGGAAACACGATGAGATCGATAAGGTCTTGAAAAAAATGAGACGGTTACAACGCCCTGTAATGCCGAATTAGAGAGCAGTTCTTGAGGAGGAGGAGGGAAGGGTATGGAGAGGAGAGTATGCCCCTCCTCCTCCTGCATACCCTCTTCTCCTCCCCACCTCCTCTCCCTCCCTCCCTCCCTCCCCCTCGTGACGTCACTTGTGACCCACGAAGGTCACTTGTGGGTCACAAGTGACGTCACAAGTGACCTTCGTGGCCACAAATTGGAAATACAATGAGCTCGATATTGGAAACGAGCTCACAAATTGGAAACACAAAAACAAGGCAGTCAAAAGCTTTACAGAAGCCAATAAAAGGTCCTAGCATCAACTGTTTCTGTCCTATATTACGCTTAAGTTCCTTTTGCGATAATAGAGTTCATACTGAGTTAGCACTGAGTCTACAGGGTGTTTTGCGAAAGGTGGACAAATTCAATATTGCGAAAACTATGCGTCGCAACAAAAAAACACATGTGTCGATTTGGCTCTGGGCCAGGGACCTATTTAGGAAAATTATTAAAGTCCGGAATAATTAGACTGTTAATTATTTTTGCGTAATTAACTTTTTTAATATTGTGTTTAAGGGCATGGTTTCAATTAGAAAATTGCTCAGCATCATCGAAAAACACTAAATCAACAAATTACGGAACGATAGAAGGCACATGAAGCATTTTACGGCTTTCTGAAAAACCGCACAAATTCGACGGGTGTTAAGTTTCGATTTCCTATCGGAGCGCATCTCAGGCGCCGACGGCACCGCTCCCTGTGGAGAAATAGTGCAGCCAGCCTCCGCTGCATCACGCGACGACAGCGCAGCAGAGGTTGGTTGCACTCTTTCTCCACGGGGCGCGGTGCCGTCGGGGCCTGAGATCTTTTGTGAAACACCATGTATAATTTGTAACTACACTGAGAAGGCGGAGAGGGAATGTGCATCGTGGCACAAACTCCTAATGTCCAGCTAGTTTGACATCGAAAACTGACAAAATTTTGCAAAAAATGTGATTTAGGGTTTTATGGTGTTTTATTATTTTTTTATCCTTATATTTGATATATAAAAACAATTAGTGCTGATTATGATCGCAAAATTAGTCAAGTACGCATTTAAAGATTTCTAGGCAACCTAGAGCATCGTCAATTTGAGCCACTTTTCTCTTTGTGGTTCTTCAAGTTGCAACGTTGCCCACCATCACATTTACATTGAAGGCCTAACCGTCTCCTCTCCATTGCTGCCTTCTATCTTCTTTACCCTAGTTGTAAAAAATAAAAATCTTGAATATGGTGATAGTTTTCTGACGACAGATTAACTAAACAATGTAGGCGTGTTGCTGATAGAAGCTACACTAATTTCCTTCTCAATTAACCGACAGACCTGAAATTTTGTTATACACCCTCTAGCATGACCACCAGCCTACCTTGTAGATTTCATTAATTTTAAGACAAGGGTTCAAAAGTTGACCCCCCCCTAGGGGGTGTGTCGATCCCCTTAAGCTCGCCTTAGTGAACCGCGCGCTAGCTTTTAGTGGCTTAGCGAAGAAATGCATTGTCAACAAAACGTCGCAGGGGCATGTGCCCACTAAACGTACAGTGTCGACGAACCATATGGCCATGAAATGTATGTCCATGAAAAGTTGTCCACGAAACATATTTCCACAAAACGCATTTCGAAGAAACAATAGGGATCCTAAGAAAGATCTGATTCTCACTGAAGATCGCTTCAGTTAGTGTGTCGCCTCTCGTCAAAAATGCTATCTATAGAAAAAGTAAAGATTGTAGGGCATCAATCATCTCGAGATAACTAGTACATTGGCAGGGAAAGAGCGGAAAACTTTCTCTTTGTAAAGAAAACCTCAGACGTACAAGTCACAAGAAAGTAGAAGAAACGTCCCCCTCTCTGCAAAGAGTAGTGTGGTCATGATTCCAAAAACAAAACAAGTGCATCGACATCTTTTTGTGCACTTCTGGGCAGAGTGTCACGGACTCTTAGGACGATCACATGACTGAGATAATTTTTCCTTTGACGCGAAGTGTCTTATTGGGAAGGCTGATCGCTTTTAATATAAGTACGATGAAACTGATAATGATAAAATGACATCCCCTTTGAATGGTGACCCAAAGATTTCTTTGTACAAAGAACAAACAACTTAGAAAGTGCTTTTTTTTTATTCTTGTTTGATGTTATAATATACAATGAATGCCTAGATTGTGAGTCGTTCTGGTTTCGCATTTTGCGGACGCGGTTCGGATACGGATACAAAGTCTGTGGATGTGGATCGGATGCGGATAATCAAACTGTTATCCGCGCAGGGCTCTACGTATAACTGTTAGGATGCATCCTAAATTGCAGTCTGAGTCAGAGTTCTAATAAAAGTCTGATTAGCTCAGTCACACTTCAGTGCGGTTAAGGGTGCCCGTGTAACTAGGGTATTATTTGGAGAGCAGTCAGTGGTCAGTAGTTCATGGTCCTCTTCTGCCCTCCTCTTCGCAATCCCGCAGAGTGCCTGTCGGAGACGGCCAAGGAGTCCCGGCCGGCGGCCAGCGTGCAGACGGACATGGTGGCCGGCCCGGCAGAGAGCAGCGGCTGCCCTTCGCTGGACGAGCGACTGGGCCGGCTCCTGGAGGACAAGGAGCAGCTGGCCCAGCACAACCTCAACCTGCAGAAGGAGCTGGATGAGCTCAGGGGCCCACACCAGAAGGCGCTGGTGCTCGTGCAAGAGGACCGCGACAGGGCGCACGACGAGCTCGCCAACGCCAAGGAAGCCCTCGCGGGTGAGTGGACTATGCGCCTCATGCCAACCTGGCACTCCACAGCTCCAAAGAGGGAAGTGTGAAAGTCAAAGGTCGAGGTGTCATTGGGTCTGTGACCTTTACCTTGGGGTCAAAGGTCAACTTCTGCGAGGTCACAGTGTCAAGGTCAAAGATCAAGGTATCATTGGGTAAAAAGCTAATACAGAAAACCCGGTTCTTTTTGGTTATGCCCGTGCAGGTTCTTTGTGAAAGTTTGTGTACTCGAGGATTCATGGACATGGCTGAGGACGATTTAGGTTTCATAAGATCTGATTTGATCATTGTTGAAGTACATGCTCGGGCACAGTGCTGGAAATAGAGGAGTTGACAAATATCCCTTAGCACATACAACTTTCTAGGGTCCTTTGGGGAAGGTAAGCTTTGTTTTCCTCGTCCAACATGTGCATGTTTAGTTCCTGCATTCCTTTTGCATCTGCAGATTTATTTGTCATGCAGTAACATACACCCTCATCGTGTTCACCAGGTTTTCTAGGCAAATGACATACATTTTCTCTAGATTTTCTTACATAAAGAATGGAACGCAATCATTGGGTTCCTTGAATCCTTCGACAAAAAGACCACTACTTCCTCGTCAAGTCATTTGGCTGAACCACAGGAACAGTGAACCTTGTTGTGCATTATCTTGGAGTACAACCTAAGATATATATAGCAAAGTCAAAGTGTGCTCGTAATAGTGGCATGATCCTTTGAGATACTGACATATACTGTAGATTTTTCCGATAAAAGGGGCTTTAATATGAGAGGTTCTGCTACACCATAATATTTCTCATTTTATTGTCTTCTCGTGGGAAGTGCAACCCGTGCCCCCCTCTTGTGCCTTGGGCTCACCAGAGAGCTGATGCTATTTTCAGGGGTGGGACAGCTGCACCAATTGCACCATTTTGTTACATCCACAATTTCCAACACCTAGCAGCGCGAAAGCGTGAAATCGACGAAACACTTGTAGTACAAACCTAATTCGCTTGAATTGTAACACATGGTACAACTGGCTAAGTTGAAGGGCAACTCAGCTTCATTTTTGTTTTTGAAAAAACAATGCAGTCATCTTTGGTATCACCTAGGAAATCTCTCTTAAACAGTCCTGCAGACTTTGAAACTCGCAAAGTTGCCAAAATCGGCTGACCGGAGCGGGCAAATTGAGACGCAACCAACAGCACAGTCAAGGTTACGACAAGGCCGAAGCCAAAATTGAGCTAAATGTCATCACCATTGTTTTCTTTTGCTTGTTTTTACTTCTCCGGGCAAGCGTAAAGGGTGACTGCAGCGACGTTTCCTCTTGGCGCTCAGCAGTGTTCATATGATTGGCGTAACGCGCCTGCGCAGCGCGCTTCTTGGGAGCCATCTGGCCACTCCACCGTGGTCCCGTGGTTACTGCAGCCATCTCCTGTGTCACAACCGCCGTCGTCATCTCGCCATTTGTGATTACTGTCTCTCGGAGTTTCATCCACGCTACGGACACTATGTGCGCAGACTTATGTCACAGTCGTGCAGACGTCGTCGAAAGTCGTAGACACCAAAACGCGGTGAAGAGTGCGGTGCAGACAACACTTGCGCCTGGCACACGCCCGCCCCAGTCCTGCCCGTTGCTGCGTGGAGGATTACGTGACATCTTTTATCACGTGACAGCCATGTTCTTGGTGGTCCGAGGCCAGTGTTGCTGGACGGAGCCAAAGTCTCGGTTTTGATTTCTGCTCGTGTTTAAAACTAGGTTTAAAAATATATATCCCATTTTTCGTGAAGGAAATGCCGTAGTGTATTTTACTACGACTTTTTAATGAGAAATCACTCATTATTCTGAAATCTTCAGAATTGAGCAGAGTTGCTGTTTCATTTCTTAAATGATGTCACAGGTGCTGCAAAATATTCTTTTTCATACTACAGTGCTTCAAAATGCAGGTTTTCTGCTCCCAAAATTGCTCCAAAACAAGTTTGGTCTGTCCCACATCTGTATTCTGAAACGAGTTTAGAAACAACGAAGGTTGGGGTGCCACAGCCCAGCAGCTCATCCTCCCCAATCTCCCCTTGTGCCCCAATGACGGTGGCGTGCAGCCCTGAAGCAGGACCGCAAGCGGCTGAAAGCAGAGAAGTTTGACCTGCTGAACCAGATGAAGCAGCTGTACGGTACCCTGGAGGACAAGGAGCAGGAGCTCAGGGACTTCATCCGAAACTACGAGCAGCGCATGCATGACAGTGACCAGAGCCTCAAGCAGGTCCGAGCCTCGGCAATGGCCGCTTCCTTTTTAAAAGAACCATGAAATGATATTTTTGCCATTCCACATTCATAAGTCATGAAACATATACCAGTGTGTGTATATTCCTGCTGGTTTTTGCAGTTCATTTGCTAGCACGGCATTCTGTTTTTCTTTTTCTAAACTTCTCACCCCTTAGCCGGACGGTCGCACATCGTACAAAGCAAGTAAAAAAAGAATTATCTCGTGGCGACTAATATTGTGGGTAGGTGGGCTTGACAGAAGTTGAGTATTTAGGGGCTGTAAGCATCAGGATGTAGAAAAACAAAAAAGAAGAGAGGCTGCAACCAATATGCCTTTTCGGTGCCCTGAGATGTAGCACTGAAAACTCATTGTCATCCTGGCAAAATAATTGCACACAGGAGAAAAGGGTTAGTTGAGTTCCAGGCCTTCAGCACCCTACAGTCCCAGAAATGCAGATTAGGGGGAGGTTTTGTTTTTGCCTTCCTCTTAGTTAGTCCACTGACATTGGGTCATTTAAGCTTGCCTTCGCATCTCGGCTTGTGTTAGTGGGCTTCCCGGTTATTGATGCAAAAGATTCCGCACATACATTTTGTTGCTCCCACTTTTTTCCTTGAGTAGCTCGCACCATCAGCCACATATACAGGGTGTTTCCACTTACTTGTGCCAAGGCATAGAAAGCTGGCACGCGTAAGCACATCGAAGCCGTGCAGTATTGTTCACAATCCTCTCGAGCAAAGTCAAGATAACTTTTGCAACATGCCAAAGTGGTTAATTAAAAAAGGCTCAAGGTACACCTAAGCACTTCTAATGAGTTGTGAATGCGAAAACATGCATGTCATTCTTTCTCTCCCTCATTTCGTCTGCGGCATGTTTGCGTCAACGGCAGATCGCGCACTCTCTTCGCCGCTCCGACCTTGGACGCTTCATATTACCGGCATGCTGATGGCACGGACACGCAGCGCCATGGGGTGGCAGTCGTTGAAACTGACGCGCAGCAGCCAATGGGAGCCTCGTTTCTTGAAACTATGACGCGCACCAGCCAATGGGACCGAAGCCGAAATCCATCAGCTCCACTCCGCTCCTTTGGGATCGAAAAAACTAGGTGCCGTTTGGCAAGTCTTTTCACGTGGTTTCAAAGCCGGGAGCCGGCTTCACTTAGAAAAAGGAGTTTAGGTGCCGTTTGGCGCGGCTTCAAAGCTGATTACGTCAGCTCGCTCCATGGGACAGTTAATATGCTTTCGCATTAAAAGATACAAACAGAATGTCAGGGTGCAAATGAGCTACCGTAAAATACCGGGCAAGAAACCACTCAAACTTTGGAGATAGTCGCAGAAAAATGGGGGATGGGCGCTTGTCCGGTCATCAATTTGACATATAAATGTGCTGTGCGTATTTTCTCAGATCTCACAAATTTGGTAATGGGCGCTTAACGTGGAATGGGCGGATGTGCGGTATTCTACGGTAGTGAATAATAGATTCTGTCTCAAAAACATCTCGCTCGTACTGCATTGCTTCGACGCGTGTGGCGTGCACCAGCATTTTTTAGGTCTTGGCACGAGGTAGCTGAAACAACCTGTATTCCCTCATAAAAAACAAACTTTTATTGCTGAACCTTAATCTACAATGCGTTAATTAACTAGTACGATTTTATTTTTTCTTGCATCGCTGTGCAGTTGGCCCAGGAGCGCGAGGAGTGTGACCGCGAACGCTGGAATCTTCTGAAGCACGCCCGTGACGAATCTGAGCGCTGCGTGGCCCTCAGGGCGCAGCTGGGGCTCAAGGAGGCCCTCATCAAGCAACTGCATGAACAGCTGCAACAGGTGAACGAGAGCATTCTGGCTTACGCTGAACCCGGAGGCTGTGACGGATACCGTAAAATCCCGAGAGATGCCCCACCCCCGAAAGATGGCCCACCCATATTTTTGGCTTGATTTGCTATATTTTCTCAAGCACCAAAAGATAGCCCACTCCTAGTAATAGTAGTGTTGGGATCAATGATAGCCTCGACGTAAATGCGGCTAGTTAACTATGGTGGGATATAAGCAAACGTTCCTGACTGGGAAGTACAGTCATCTTTGCTTCGTTGCTCCTCGCCACCATAACAGGCTTGGAAGAATTTTTTAAACTTTTTTTGATTGTACACCGAAAGTTAGCCCACTCAATATTTTCACCTGATTTGCTCTTGATGTTAGGTGGGCTATCTCAGGGTTTCACGGTAGTAGCGCATGGAGGCTGTGAGAAAAAAGATGGCTCGATCAGATTCAATTGGAATTCCAACTAATTTTAATTACAACCAATTGGTTTTAGCAAGTTCCAACTGGAAGCGCACTGGCCGATTGGTCTTGTTTATTGGAGGCTTTTGTGCCCCTTACTGACATACCAGCAATGCTTTTCAGGTCACCATGGAAATTATGCTTTTATTTCAGGTGAACTCGGTTTTAACACTGCAGAAACCCGAGATTGGTGAATAAGAAAACTGTCAACACGCATAATAGCAGTCTCCAACTCAGCTGGCTTGATCGGGTCTAGGTTTTTGCAGTGTTGAGCTGAAAGTTGCCCCGCTTGTGCCTCCACTGTTGGTCGATTAATTGATTGATATTGATTTGAGCTCAGGAGAGCTAGCCACTGCATTGCAAAAAGGCAAGTCGCTCACACCGTGAAGGCCTAGCTGCTAGCTGCGGCACCGCGTCTGATGATGATGAAATATGGTATTGTACATGATGTTGATGATGATGAGAGGGTGAAGAGCGTTGGGCCTAGCAAAACCGTGCGCGCAGTGTGCAATTGCGCAGCAGCTGCATCTTCCGCCTTCCGACCTTGGAATGTGGACGAACAGTCCTACTGCAACTGTCTGACGAAACTCTCGGAAGCCCGTGCACGCTGGCGACAATCTCATTGAAGCAGCGCAAAGAGTCCTACGCCTTCGCTGTGTAAGCTTACATAGTGTGGTGCGGTTCAAACTCAATCGCATGGTTTCGTCGCGAGCGTTGATTGATTTATCTTCCCTGGGTAGCTGAGGGCCCACAGCACACATCTATATATTTCTCTAAGCGAGGACAGAAAACACAAGGACACATTCTCCTCGCTTAGCTTAAGCCTTCCGCATCAGCCTCACGATTGTCGGCCTGTGCAATATCATCCAAATCTCTCCTGTCACCAAACTCACATAGTAGTTTGTATGTGTGGAACATAAACTTATTAAAAATTTGTATCATTCCCCACTAGACTTTGCAAGTGTTCCTGCTTTGAGAAGAGTGGGGGCTAGTTTTTCAAAAACATTGAACTCGGCCACGAGGTCGCCCAGCACGGAGAAAATATTTACTGCTTTTTGTGGCCTTGCATCGCAGTAAGAACAGCAACTTCGCCTGCACGTTCATCCAGTTAGGCAGACTCCATGTCACCGTGCAAGCACAATGCCCTGCGTACCGTTAAAGACCCTCCATCGGCGTGCCTGCGAACACTTGGTCCGGCGGACAAGCAGTATGAAGCGACTCTTCGGCACTTCCTTTCTGCTACGTTTAGTGCTAAGAAAGCAAACGTCGTGCCACAAAGCTTGTTTGCATTACTGTCCATGACTCCGCATTGTTTGCACAACGGAACGCAGCAGGTTACAGGCATTTTGCCGGCAACAAACGAAATGGTCGCATATGCACACACACCCAGCCAGCTCCGCTTCTCGCAAACATTAAAATGGCGGGAGAGCTTTCTTTTGCGTTCACCAGATGGCACAGCTAGTTTCGCATGAGGTCTTTTGGCTGTAACGAAAAATTGACACCAAAGGTGTTATGGAACCATATAAAAAGACTTCATTCCACCAGCAGGATTTGAACTCACCAGTTTCAGATCGTCAGCCAAGTGCTTTGCCAACTGAGCTATCGTGAGTTAGAGATTTGAGCGTGCAAAAGTGAAGTCAATCATATGGTGCACGAAAATGTTTTTGCACCCTTTGCAGCCTTCTCACGGCATCTGTCAGAAATTAGAGTGAATCTTCATTAGGCACTGCCATTCAGATGCCCTTCTCTTCTCTGGGAGGCACATCACACATTCTGTGCTACCAGTTTTTGTCAGCATAATCGAGCTTGGTTTAACTTGTATGAACTTGTTTCAGCTTTGAACCTTTCTAAAACTGGTTCTGGGATACTTAGTGGAAAAAGGCTCATAAAAAGTCTCACCTGCAGAACTACAAGTTAATTAAACTTAAATTTTGTGAGCGTGGCCTTGCCCTTGCTTACAGGTCAGAAGGTACCTAGTGTAATGGTATCTCCATAATAAAGCCAAAAATTGCAAAAATAAAGGCAAAAGTTCTGTCTTTAATGTGGGGGTTCTACTAATGTGTGCTAGCTGTTTTATTAGCTTCAGGTACTTGGTACAAACAGTGTCGAGGGTCACGTTCATAAAGCCCTCTCTCTGTACCGTACATCTAACACCGGAATGTTTCTTTCCTTGCATGTCCTATAAACCGACTCAGATTCTATATCCAACAGAGTGTGTGTGGTTAAAATTAGTATACAAAGTGTTGTTTTTTTGTGCAAGTTGCCAAAACTGTGAATTCATATTGGCAAGTATTGCAACTGTTGTTTGTCAGTAAGCACCCAGATTCTTGTACTGCTCACTATTCTGAAATGTACAGAAGACTGCTCGCATCGTGAAAAGCATTCTTCTACCTTTTGTCTCACTTAAAAAATCGCAGTCCACACGCGCTAAATCACAGTCCAACCAGCGCTCGCCCGCAATTGCGGCCAGCCAGAAAATGCGTGTGCATAACACACAAATACAGCAATGAACTGGCCCTCATACGCTTTTATGGAAGGGTGTATAGAGAGTATTCACAAGCGGCCATAGCTGTGTGCGCGATTTGCCGAGTGTACTGATGGCGAGCTTCCGCGACTTTCTTGTGACGTGCATTCCACACCATGAAGGTTGCCGGTCCTAGCAACCTATTAATGCGAGCTCGGTCCGAGCATGCGCTTTAAATGACACCCACAAATTTGGCATCTATACGCTTACCTTTTCAAAAAAAACTTTCAGCAACTTTCAGCCTTTCCACTCTGGTTAAGAAGAAAGACCAGCGAAGCTGTGCTATGGTGGGAATGAAGTAATGGCCGGCCGCAAGTCAGCAAGCCAGAGTGGAAAGGCTAGCTGGAAAAGTTGCCGCCATCTATGAGCAACGGCGGCAACCAGACAACCTGCAAGCTGGATGTCTGGTTGCTGTCGTCGCTTATAAATGGCTGTAGCTATCCAGTGTTTGGTGTCATCATTTGTTTGCTGGCGGACACGATCCCGGGGAAACTAGCCCTTAACAGCTCCGCTTTAAAAGATAAATTTTAAGTAAAACAGCACATGTTGAGCAGTGTTTGTCTCGAATTTGCCGAGCCAAAGCCATGTTGGAAGGCTATAAAGAAAGACGGTTGGTTTTGCAGGCTCAAGAAAGACTGAGCTACATGTCGGATGCCGAGAGCTTGCGTGGAGTGTCCAATGGCTTCCAGAGCTCCGCCTCTCGGCGGAGCTGCCGCAGTCCCGCACATAGCGGACTCAACCCTCCCGTTGCGGCGGTGGGCTATGACTCCAGTCCAAAGCATCATGGTAGGCCTCTTTCTCAAGCAGGTCTTACTCAATGTGTGGTGTTCGCTTAACGGGTCACTAAGAGGGCTTACTAGTTCATATTTTTATGCAGACAACTCAATGACTTAAAGTGTATGCCCTAAAAGCTAGAAATTATAATCATGTATGGCTGTTTTTTCTATTAAAAAGAGGTGATCAAAGATTGCATAATGCCCCTTTTCTGCTATCACCATAAAAAGACAAACACAGAGGCCAGTTTAGTCCCCTCTAAAGGGGATACTTGAGTTATTTATTTATTTATTTACGATACTGGGAACCTTACGGTCAACACAGGAGAGAAAAATAAGTTGTACAAGCAAAACAAAATACATTCACACACTTCAGTGAGTCATTGTACGCAGGCAGGTGTGTCTTCATGCCCTGCGCATCTGAAAATAGGCACACGGTCGAATCTTCAAAGTAATCGTCAGAGTTTAAATTTATGGCTGTAATAAGCAGTTGAAGTATATCTGATAAAACTCACCTGTGGTAGGTAATGCTGACCAAGTTCAAGTCTGTGCAGCTGATTGTCATATGAAAAGCAACTGTTTAAAGTCCTTTTAAATAAAATGTTTTGAGATATTCAGCATATCTGGTGAGATTTTGTTAAGTTTCTATTTCTAGAATTAAAAATCGGACAAAATAAAAGCCCCTGTTTTTTTGTTTTTTTTTTGCTGGGACGGCTTTAAAATTTGAAGGTTGAACAGAATACTCTATTATTCGAATTCATAAAACTCGAACCGCATTGAAAACTTTAGAATGTCTTGGGTAATAATGTGTTACAGGTAATGCATTATTCTAGCTTCGTTACATTTTTGGTAACTTTTAACTGTAATGTACCACCTTTTCATAATGTAACTCCTAACTAGTTATATTACTTTTTGTGAACTATCGACAAGATCCAATGTTACTTTTGTCATTACTTTTAACAGTTTCTTCAGCATTAATATATCACTGAACGAGTACTACCTAGTATGGCGCACCGTGCATTCACGAGGGCGCCCATCAAACCATTCTGCCAATCCTTGGCCGCCAGGCAGCTGCGTAGCTGCCTCGCCTCAGACACGATCACATGGTCGTGTCGCCGCGGGGTCGATCGGGATCTCGAATTCGGCTCCCGACGCGCCGCTTTCTCTCCTAGCCACTGGAGGGCACTGCAGGCGCCCCCGTGGCGGGTGAGGAGAAACCTCCTCACCCATCGATGGATATATACTCGGTGGGGCAGGGGGCGAGAGGCTCTCTGAGAACTGCGGACGAGACCGAGACGCAGGCAGGCAGGTGGGTGGCGACCGGATCTAGGATATCGCGGGACGCGAGGCCTAAGGACCTTTTTTGTGTTTAGCGTTGGGCTTAACGTGCGTTTGTAAATATTTGTGTAATGTCGCATGTATTTGTAGTTTAGATTAAGTGTTTTGTAGCGTTTTGTTTTATTGTATGAATAAACTGGGAGCGGAATCCCGCTCCCGTGAAAGAACCAGGCTGGACTCGGGTTGTTGACGGACCACGTGGGAAACGGCGAATCGGCGGCGGTACGCGATTTCCTACACTAGCCATTTCATACAGTTTTCAAATGATGCATTCCGACATTTTGAGTGTCATGTTTGCCTTGTGCCAACTTGAGCGAACTTGCACTTTTTGTAATAAACTTGGAGGGCGGGAGGAGGGGAGGCATTTTCTTCTGTTTTCTTGATTTGTAGTTTTATGGGAAAGTAACTTAAATGTTACACAGTTAATTTTTGAAAGTAAATGTAGAGGTACAACTTTGCTGCTTTTATCTCAAGGTAAACTATAACTGTACAAATTACTTTTTCAAAGTAACTTTACCCAGGACAACCTGTGCCTCGCACCCGGGCACATCTCATTGAAGTCTCGTTGCCCACCGTTCCAGCGTCTGGCTGCCTGCTAGACAGCCCCAAGAAGTCCCCCGTGTCGGTGTGCAGCGCGGCGGCACTGCCCGGCCTCTCCCGGTCGGCCGAGGAGATCTACCAGAGCAGCGGGTCCTCGGACACGAGCGCGGCGGGAGTCCTGCGCGGGGTCCCAGGCAAGCCCAAGAAGAGGAGGGACGGCCGCAGCCCCTGGGGCTCCATCTCCAGGGTCTTCCTCAGGAACAGGCAGAGGAAGGGGCTCGAGCCGGGGCTGTACCACCCGGGAAATGCGTGTAAGTGGGACTCGGTTAGCACCTGTGAGCCATCGCCAGATTATCACATTTTTTTTCTCAGTATCGAAGAGCTGCCATCAGAACTACTATAAAGGACTTACCTAGTAGCATATGAATTCACTTGCACTAGAATTTCTTTTAAGAACTTTGTGGGAATGGGGAAACGTCTTACTCGTCGGCGGGCACAAAAGCCACCCCTTTAATTTGCTTGGATAAGCACTTTACGTAGCTTCGTTCATTAAAGTTTGCCCAAAGAGATTCCGACCTGTTGGACGTGCTACGAGAATATTCGAGCAGGGTTAATGTTTCCCGCACCAAAGGAGATGCTAAGAAACGCCCCTGCCATTGCAGCTGGCACTCCGGACAGTTCTCCCCAGCACTCGGTTCAGGCCCAGCTGCACCAGCAGCGTCAGCGCAGCTCCTGGTCCCCCCAGGGGTCGGGACCCCCGTCAGGCTCTGGCCTGGAGCCGGCCGAGTGCGTGGCCCAGCAGCGCCTGCTGGAGGAGGCCCAAGGCACGCCCATGGAGCGCTGGAGGGCCCCCACCGTGCTTGCCTGGCTCGAGCTGGCCCTGGCCATGCCCATGTACGGCCCCATGTGCGCCGAGAACATCAAGAGCGGAAAGGTGGGCTGCGCTGCGTAGGTGCCATGCGTCCCACTGCCGACGTGCGGTTTACGCTCGGAAATGGGGTATGGCAACGCCAACCTGGGTATTTGTCGGCCGTGTCCCCTCCCAGAGCGGCCGATGGAGTTACGCGTCCCGAATGGACTTCTTTGTAGGGTCGTAAATCAATGAAACAGGTCCAGTTGGTTTAAGACCGATGGAAACATTGCCAACAATATGAAAAGATGCCCCGATGCACCACATTTAGTTTTTATTTATCAAAATATACTTTCAGGCTATGGGTAAATGTAGCAAGAACTCGAATAGCACGACAATGGACAAGTAGAAAGAGCAAACGGGACAAGTCCCAACTACCAACTGACATTCTACAATGCACGACAAAGACGAGGACATGAGTGCGGTAGTGTGAAGTGTGCGTAGTAGTAGTCTCAGGCTGTGAAGGCAACTCCGCTCAATATTTTTTTTTATTTTGGATTACGATTGTTTTCAGCTCAGTCAGTGACCCTAAATTAGAAGGTATATATATATATATTTTTTTTTTTTTTTTTTTCGATATTGTGTGTAGTTCTATGAATATCACGGCTCAAAGTTTGGCTTTGGGCATCTAGAGCAAAACTGAAACTATCTGCTAGAGAGATGGCAACATTGATCATCAGCTGCATGGCCGCGATGGGACGTCACCGTGGTGCTGCGATGAGCAGAATCAACTGCAGCTCCACCGCTATGTGACTTCACGGGGCTGCTGCATTACGCGTCACCTAGCGTTCCTTGACTAAAAGCTAACCCGCTGCCACCCGCTAAAGATCAGCTGGGCGCATCTTTGAAACCAGTTATAGTGCACCATGCAGCTTCACTTTGACGTTATATTTCGATCGTGGTCATATTTCGTGCCACTAAAGGGATATCAGTCACTTAGTTTTGTTTTGTTTTAGACCGAATGTCAGCTCTTAGTGAGCGCTTGTCCCATTCTTCTCTTCTACTTGTCCATACCGCTATTTGTCTTGGCGGTATTTGTTTATTTACACGTATAACTACTTTCTCGTGGAGGGCATCACAAGTCCGAGCTCTCGAAGCAGAAACGGGAAAAACTGTGCGATATACGCAAAGCCCGGCTTGTCCCTCAGTGGAAAAACCTCACGACAAACATTTCAGATCCTTCTTGAGTTGTCGGACACGGAGCTGGAGTCCTGCCTGGGCATCACCAACGTGATGCACCGCAGGAAGCTGCGCCTTGCCATCGAGGAGCACCGGGAGCCCTCCATCTGGTGAGGCGCCTTTTCACCCACGGTCTGAATGCGGGAATGAATCAATTTTGAACCCAAATGGACATTGACTCTTCTCATGTTCTTGCAAGACCCAAGTTACTGTTTGCTCAAAACTGGTACTTTAAAAAAAAAATTGAAGCCTTCTTTTTTTTTGCATTTTTTTTTTTTTTTTAATAGCCTAGAGTGCTTTGAGCTAGCAGTACCTCTATATTACTTTCAAACTGGAGTGGAGAAAGCAGTACCGTATTTGCTCGAGTAATAGCCGCACTACTTATGAACAAGGCCCTTGCATCTACTTTCCCGCAAAGCAGATATACAGCCAATCATTGCATTGCGCATAAATAACATAGCGAATAACCAGATCGAGAACATGATTCTCCATACAAATGCAATCTTCACAGACGGTATCTTCGCACGAAGACGTTATCTCTGTCCTGTAAACAGCTGGAATCATGCTGTTGATTGCAGTGTTTGGCAATCTGCATGTTCCGTGGAAAAACAAACCCTCAGGTTTTCTTCATAAACAGTGCGGCTATTACTCGAGTAATTACGGTAGTAGTAGGTCTCTGGAAGAACTGAATGAGCCAGATTATTTGGCCGCGCGTCGGGGGATGGCGATAATTTGTCTGGGTTCCGAACGTGCATAAATGTGGGTGTCTTTTTGCTTGCGAGTGGGACAGCTGGTACATCTATAAATAATCTCTCGATAACAGTATTCTCAGTTCCAGCTTACGGTGGACCGCAGAGAGCTTAATTGACTACCGTGCAAGTGTTAGGTGACCTTCAGGCAGGGCACATAGCCTTAATTGTGATACATTTACAGAGCTGGATTGGCTGGGAGGGCTCGTAATGTCCGCTGTAAGGTGAAACAGAGTCTAGCAGTCTGCACCGTGACTTGCCAGAGCCAGCCACCCGTACAAGGGAAAGGAAGCAGGCGTCCGCCTTGAGAACCTAAACCCAACTAATCTTCATTCGTAATCCCGGCAATGAAGACAAGCGTGGCATCTAGCCTCATGCACAATACATGGCACGCCCTTCCTGTTAGTCGCGCTGCTACATCGTGCAAGAAAGAATAAAATTTTAGCTTATATAATTCTGAAAATAAGGTAATGTCGTTCTCCGACAAAGACAGTTCGAAAATGTCTGCGATAACATACCACACTGATCACTTCCCTCCTTTTCTAGTGGACCATGCACAGCAATGTTGCTTAAATAGACACCCAACAAAATAATGCAGAGTACAACTTGGCAGTTTGATAACAGAGCGAGAGGTGAGAACCACCATACTTTCCAGTAAGGTAGTTCCCACCTCTCAGATATCTAGCCAGCATGCCTCACATACTTCGAGCAGATGTCATTGCGACGGGTGCTTTAGCACAACAGACTCGTCCACCTTTTTCTGCCGTGCTGCCACCTTGACTGCACAAAAAAATATAAAAGCTGTTGGTAAGCTTGTACCCATTTCCTAGAGAGAAGACGTTATGCGAGGCGAGGAGAGAAAAGTTAATTATGCGTAGGGATTCATATCATCTCGCGAATCTGTAGGGCACCACATTCCTGCACAGAAAACCGCTTGGCCTGTGTAAAACCCCCTTGGAAGGAAAACCTATTTCTTTTTTATACATACAACATTATCATGACCAGACTTGAATTTGCTGCAACGACTGCATTGGTAAAAGCAGCTGCAAGACATGTGATCCATTGCCTGTATTTCTATTTGCAAAGATGGCACGTGGAAAGGGCACTGAGATAAAGTTACTTAAAGGAATTCTCAGAGTGCCGCAGTCAAACAAAATCCCTCTAGAAACAGTAATTGGCATCCACCATTTTTCTTCTTGGGAGATGGTTGTAACATGCCATCAATACGCCAGATGGCGCTTGGAGTTAATAGTGTGTGATGCTGCTACGAGATGATTTCCACATGAAGGCTGGTGACTTAGGCCCATTTTACCATCAACATGTATGCGAAAGAGTGCCGCAGTGACATGCTGTCTAATGGGTTTGGTCTTTGAGTCTTATATGGCACTTCCATCATAAACATGCTGCAAACATGGGGGTGAGAGACTGAGTTTTGGGAAACTTTTGTTGGTGTAAGCAGTAAATAAAAAATGGCAAAATTGTCGCATGACCACTAATGAGAAGAGGAGGGCAATAATCTGACTCCTACGACACTTCTGTTATGAACATTCAGAAAACAAAGTGTGAAAATTGTCCCAAGGTTAAGGTTGCGTCTGCATCTTCTGGTATTTCTGTTACGAATATGTTCGCAAAAACAAATTACAAAATTATCTCATGACCGCCAGTGAGATTGGAGAAAAGGATGAGTGAGCCTTGCGCTTCTGTTGTCAACGTTCGGCAACAAAAGGCAAATTGTCACGTGACCGCCAATGAGAAGAGGACGGGAAAAGCCTGAGACTGCTGTAGTAAACATTCAGAAAACAAGCTTGTCACACGACTGCGAAGGCGAGGGCACTCTTGTACAGCTGGAGGTTAACGACGCATACCCCGTCTGTCGCAGCCCGTACCCCAAGATGTGCCTGGTGACGCACACCTGGGTGTGCGGGGAGTGGCTGAGCAGCCTGGGGCTGCCCTCGTACGGGGAGGCCTTCCGGGAGCAGCTGGTGGATGGGAGGGTGCTGGACACCCTGAGCCGCAGGGACCTGGAGAAGCGACTGGGCGTGGCCAGCCGCCAGCACCAGGCCTCCCTTCTGCGAGGCGTGCAGCTGCTGCGCACCCTGCGCTTCGACCTCAGGGCCCTGGCACACCGCAGGGCGCTCTGCCGACACCTGGACGTCGACCCCGTCGTCTGGACCAACCAGCGCTTCGTGCAGTGGGCACGCTCCATCGACCTCGGGGTGAGAGGGCTCTCGACACGTCCCAGTGGAGTTCTGCTCCAGAGGGGGGTGCGCCCACGATCCGTTCGCCAACGAGGCGGTGGAGGTCGTGCGTCAACCTTCCACCGCACACGCAAAAAGTTTGAATGGCGGACAGTCGAGTGGTCTTGCGAACACGTAGCTCCCACTGCCCTGTTGGCTTGGGACCGAATGTAGCGTAGGGTCACCCAAAACCCACGCAGCCACTTGCGTGCACCACGCAGGTGTATTTGGCAACTACCTGTTAGAATTTCGAATTCTGTTTTTAGATACGGTGTTAGGAGGCTCTAGCGATATTGTTTTGCTCCGTCGTGGACTGTATTGGTGAACAGGTCAGAAAGCATTTCATTCGTATTCCATTGTGCATGTTGCAACAAACCATTGGAAACCTGCAAAACTGATATTACGCAACAATATTCCTGAAGTGCCATTACACTGAAGCAGATTTATGTAGTGAATCCAAGTCAACCTTTTTACGCGCGTAGCCCACGTATCCAGCTTTTTGCAATGTCCACGAAGAGCTGATCGTAGCAATTTTTTGAAATAAGATCTGTACCGAAATTACGAGCATGCGAACGTCGCGTTACTGGTCGAGCCTGCGCAAGTTGGCATTTTCGACTCAAAGTCATCTCCGTCTCGTCACTCTCTCACTTACTTTCCCGACTCCCATGATTGGCCTCTGCGGGAAAGTAGATGTGCAGGCTTTGTTCGTAAGGAGCTCTACATTTTTTAAAGAAGTGCTTCCTTGCTCAGGTTTCGGAAATCCTGCAAGTATCGCATGATGCATCTTTCCAGAAAATTTCAATATGGGTCTAAAGGTTGATTTTCACACTTGCGACTGCTTACAACCGAAGGGACACTGACACACCTCAAAATAAATTTTTTTTTTGCCAGGCAATTTATTATGGTGTCAGAAGATTACCAAACCAATATTTTGCTGCAGCGTCACATATATTTTTAATAAATTCAAAAAACGCAACTGCTCGAAACTGAAACTGGACTGGGGAGGAAGAAGAAATATAGAGGGGGAGAGGGGTGGCGGAAGTCACGTGGCTGTACAAGTGTTTTTTTTTCCAATCAACGTATTTGCGGCTTTTTAGAAGCCACAAAAAATGGGCATCATATTTCTTTTCTATTTAAACGTGCCGACACCACCAAATGATGAAGCTCATAACCACGCCAGCCTCGCCGTAGCCTCGCCCATGATGGGAAACGTGGCATCACGAACGCGCTGGAGGCGCCGGATCTTCTGAGATGCATCACACTTTCCGACGGCTGCTCTTCAAGCGCTTGCCATAGTCAGCGAAAAATGTAGCCATCCGTTCAAAATACAAGCGTGCGATTGTCTTTGGCAGGTATGGTTGATCACGTTTAAATAATTTCTGAATGTGAGAGGTACTATATTTCGATTTTCATTTTAGTACTTTAAGGAGCTTGTTTACGTTGTGCCGTTGAGTCTGCGCAAAACTGGAACGGGTCACCCTGTAGTACTTCAAGAAAAACGGACTAGACTAACTTTGTCGGTCCTACCACGCCGCAGGAGTATGCGGAGAACCTGCGCGAGAGCGGCGTGCACGGGGCCCTGGTGGTATTGGAGCCGTCGTTCTCGGCAGAGACCATGGCCCAGGCGCTGGGCATCCCCTCCTCCAAGAACATCATCCGGCGGCACCTCACCACTGAGCTGGAAAACCTGGTGCAGCCTGCTAGGTAAGCCACTTTCTGCCATTGGCCTTCTGCAGACTGCTAGACTCTCTGTTCTTTCTGGGCTATATGCCTTCACTTCCACACTCAATTTCTTCTATATCTTTGATCTAGCACAAGTTAAGCAAGTGCACAACTCACTAGAAATTAAAGGGGCACTGACAGGATATTTATGCTCACCGAGCTTTTTATTTAAACATGGCCTATGAGAACCAAACTACCCAGAACATAGTTTGCGGCTCGAAATTCGCTTTCTTTCTGCCTGAAAACAGCCAGTCGAGAATTGGTCGGTTTTAGTCACGCTCACTCTATTTACCATGGTCATGTGACATTCCAACCATGTGTACAAAATACATTCAAAGTCGTGGGGCATCTAAGGCACACATTCAATATTAAAAATAAAAAAGAATATGAGCCCCATTTTTGTGGCCTCCAAAAAACTGCAGATATGTTAAACAAAAAGGAAAAAAGAAATCTTGCACAGATCATAGGAAGTGCATGTACATGTCATTCTCAATATGGTGGCATACTGCGGGCTGGACAGCGCGATGGCGGCGCACGACGGACAAACATTGCGATGGATGTGGGGCCGCTACTTCGGAACTGTCGTTCGTTGTACCAGCCAATCAATCTTCAAGCACAGAACATAGAGGGATACAGTATAGACCACTTACAACGTAACCGCTTATAGTGCAGGACCGGGTATAACGCGGTTTTTTTAAACCACCGGTTCACCTCCCATAGAACTCCATGTAATTACATACCGCTTAAAACGCAGGCGCGCGAAGGGAAATACCGGTTATAGTGCGGTTTCTGGCACAGCCCGCCGACCGCGCCGACGACCGGAGCAGCGAGCACGCTTCCCTGTGCGACACCTGATAACGGCGCTGACGGCGCGAGCGCGAGCCGCAAGCGTTGCGCAAGCGTGACTCGCGGGGCAAGGAGGTTGCTGGAAGAAGCGGGAGAAGCAAAGAGAGGCTTCAGTTGCCCTAGCGACGAGGGACGCACGCACGTGTCGTTCACGTGCGTGCGTCCCTCCGCTGCGTTGGAAACCAACAACCGCAACGACAGACTAGTCGCAGGTTGAGGAGAAGTGTTCGCGGGCATCGCATGCCAGTCGCGGGCCGCAAACATGGCGTCGGTTGTGATGAACATTGTGGTCGTCGTCGTAGACGGCGTTCATCTCATCGTTCCGCGTAAAAGCGCTATCCTTGACTGTGAATTTTCGTTGTGTGTCGCTATGATAACCCAGCGCGTACTAGAAGGGAAGATCCACCTACTCGAGCGGCGATGTCATGGCGACGCTTTCAAGACGGCAGAAACGCCCGTGTCGTCGTGTTTGTTTACTTCGACTACAGTGGTGCTTTCTACGCATTTATGTCCTCGAACATCGCCCGGATTTCTTATTTAGCGCATTTCATGCGTGTGCTCAAGTTCAAGGTATTACTGGCGCGTACCGTATGAAGGATGCGAATTTTCTCGCGTTTTCATCTCCGGAGAAAAGTGATTAGGGTTAGCAATCCTGAACGCTCGCAACGTCCGTCCGCAACCCGCGATGCCGCTAAAAGGCTGCGCCAGGCAAAAGCCGTTCATTTCTTTCAAAATGTGTGACACACTTGAGAGAGAAGTGTACTAGTCTGGTGAAATAAAGACTTTCCTCAAACTAAGCTTTATTTTTCATCTAACATGAAATAAATTCTTTTACAAAGGTAAGTTGTTTCATGGCATGTATTTTGGCCTGAAAAATTGATGTTTTGGTTATAGCGCGGTACCGCTTATAGTGCGGATTTTCGCGACTCCCGCGACATAAGTTATATGCGGTCTACACTGTATAAGTGAGAAACAATCGCATGACAAACGGTGCACGTAACTTCGTTGTCCGCTTCACACACCAAAGAAGCGGAGAAAAACGAAATGCAGTCACAGCCATGTGACTTCCGGCCATGAGCTTCCGTGCTCGTGTTTCGGTTTCGAGCAGTTGAGTTTTTTTGGCTTTATTATGTGACTTTGCAGCAGAGTATTGATTGGGAAGTCTCCTGACCCCATATTTATTCGCCTAACAAAAAATTTTAAAAAACATTTTTGGGGGGTGTCAGTGTTCCTTTAAAAGGATTCAGAATCGAAACTTAAAATATACCTCTCATGTTCGGAAAGGAGTTAAGCCCAATCAACTCTATTCGCTAGTGACAGTCACACGCTTGTATTTCAGACAGATGGCAGTATTCTTTGTTCTAAATTTTTGATTCTGGCGAGCACTTAAAAATCAGCCATCGTAGAGCGCGGTGCGCCTCGGGATATCCATCACGCCCGCAACTTGTCCGCTATGTCATCGGCCTCCCTGGGGCAAGGCGCACTGTAGTTATGGGCATTGACACTTGGTGGCATCAACGCGTTATTACATCGCTTAGCCAGAATGCCCAAGGGCTGTAACATATATCACCAGGAGGTTGCGGAGCCGGCGAAGTCGTGTGCACTGGGACAATGCGTAGTTCGTCATCTGCTCCACGACTTGGTTGGTATGACGACATCACCAACGTCGGTTTCGGGCGCGAGCTCGCTGCTCTTTGAACGGGACGACATCGTCGCGAGGTGGCTAAGGTACCTCTGCTATCTCGCACAAGGCAAGATGCCGGTAGATATCCTACATCATGTCGTTGAAGGTGACGGCAGGACTATGTGTGACATTGGTAGAAAAAGGCAATTACTGCTTACCTGATTTACCACCGACTGATCACAACGACCAGACTCGGCAAGGGTGCAGCACGGCGGGCATTGATAGTGGTGTAACTGCAGCATCGACACGCTACCGCAAAGAAATACGTACGCCACGACGATTTTGTGTCATTCCTTGCCACAAGGGCGACCACTAAACAAACATAGGCATCGGCATAGAGGAAGCTTGCGCTGGTCTTTATGGGATTCGATTTTCCCAGCAAAAGCACTGAACACAGAACACGACTGTACAATTCTCACATCGTCCCACAAAAACCGCCGCAAAAAACGCTGCCATCGCCACGATTTTGCAATGCAACCTTTCTCAATGGCGAACACTAAACGAATAAAGAGAAGCGGTCTCCACTGCTTTCGTTCGTCTTGTCCAACGAGGCTTACGCAATTGTCTAAGAAAGGGCACTTAGCACATCGACGGTGACTAAGTTCGACGTTGAGACAATCACTGAATTCTCGCATCTTTGCACATAAACTGAAGCGCACAAATATGGATACCGACATAGCTCTGTGACGTAAACCCATGTCACTTTGAGAGGTCGGCATCCCTTGGCGAGAACGACGTTGAAAGCAGCACGCGCCTTGTTGAAAAAGATTGTTCATCAGCCCCTGACGTCTGTGACGTTAAAGAACGAGGAAGCGATTGGCTGCATGGCAGAGTGAATTCAAGGTGACCAACAGTGTTTTGGCTTATTCAGCGAACCTTCAATATTACGTTATGGTCTAGGCAATCTGTTCTAGTGAGCGTACTTCCCATATACTGGCGCTGCCGTCGGAGGCCGATGCTGTCACGACATTTCATTGAAGCTTCATAACCAACAACCAGATGGTTTTTTGTTGTCGTTTTACTTCTGTTTAAAACATGTTTCCTCGCGTTTTCCAACGAAATATTGATGTTTCTGGGGTTCTACTGCTACCTGCATCATATTGAAGCCAAGAAATGAGCTCCAGAATTTGGTTTCCATATCCCTTTAAGGCCCGTTCATATCCTTGCTCTTCCTTAGGACGGAGCGTGATCTCTTAGAACAAGAGAACATGCTGGCACCCTTTGTGAGGTGGCGCTGGAACTGCATTTTACTAAAGCGAAAGTTTTGTGGTACTCTGTGAGGTAAAACGTGGTACTATCTATGAAAAATGGTTGTCCATAACATTGTCAAAAGATTTTCGAGCCAAGAAAGAAATAAGGATGCATTAGAAAAACAGACGGAATTTGCTGTGTTCCACGGCCACCTGATAGATCGCACCAGTTTGTTGTCTCATTGTAAAAGGTTTTAAGAGGCTTTAAGGCACACGGTCGTAAGTAATTGCAAGTCTGTGAAATTAGCTCTTTTCTTACCGCAGGAAAAAAGGCTGTTATGGGGTGCTCCGAGGAAAACAATTGTTTAGCTGCACATTTCGCTACTATTTGTAGTGAAGCATACCAAAATGTAGCTAAAGAAATTCTCTTCTCAAAACATATAGCACGAAAAGAAAAAGGAATATTTATTGTAAAATTTTGTTTAACACGGAAGATTTTATATAATTTGGTGTGCCCTGCCGTAGTATTAGGAGTAAAAAAAATTTAAAATATGCATTTTGTGCTTTACTCTTTTAAAAACGAATCTTGCAAGTTTGAAAAGACTCCGCACAAACTTCTAGTTCTTCAGAAAAATAAGTTACCTCCCATGATGACTACACCGTTCCCCGAAACCTCGAACGAAACGTTTTGTGCTATGCCGTAGTGTTATGCCAAAGTTGGGACCGGGCCACCTTTTTAAAGAGAACTCCACTCATTTTGCTGCTGATATCATAAAATCGAGTCTGTATGAGGTTCACGCCCTGCTGATGAAAAGCAATGCGTTCAAAACACACCCAGTATGTCCACAGAAGCTCACAGAGGCAAAAAATGCGCTCAGCATGTAATACAAATACCCACGGATAATCTCGGCTGGTTAGACCCACTGCCACAATCGAAACGAAAATCCAATGAATGAACGTCGTCTTCTGACTCGCTGCTGCCACTTTCACCCACAAAATTGATTGCACATGCACCAGAATCGCGAATCAGAGAATGTTTCTGAGAAGCGTTGGCATGCGGCGAGGACGCCATGCTTCATGCAATCGCTCGCAATCCCAGAACTTTAAAGTCACGTAAAATATCGCCCCCTCGCGGAAAAACAAAATCTCCGTAATATCCTAGATGGCATTGCATGTCTAAAAATGACGCCTAACGCGTTGAAGTAGACGTTTTAAATCCACCGATCAAATTTATCGATTTGAATAGGCACAATAAGGAAAGAGCTAAGTTTCCTTTTCGTAAAAACAATTCCGAGGGTTTTAATAATCGTGCTTCGAAATCGTTTTTCGGTCTCTTGGGTGGGGAGAGAAGGAAACTCCCCAAGCCTCAAAGTGGGAGCCGACATTTCGTGAAGCACACCCAAAAGGCATGTTCGACTGACGCGTTTAGAACATGATGGATTTTGCGATTCTTTTCGCGAAAGGGAGAGCGAGAGTTGCGAGACGGGGCCCCTTTTGGGCGGCCAACACAGGATGTCCCTGGAGGCGGAGGCGGTGGTGGAGAGCAAGGGCGGCAGTGAGCGACGCCTGGCCTCAGCCACGGGCTCCCTCGGACGCAGCTTCACTCGGTCCAGCAGGGCTCGCTCCTCAGACCGGCAGACGGACAAGCGCAGGTCGAGCATTCGGGTGAGCGCTCGCATGGGTGCAGGTGCCGAAAGTTTCAGGCATGTCCATAAATGTTCAAATATTGGTGTATTCGATTCACCTTTCGAGTCGAATATTGTCGCTATTCGATTCCACCTTCAAATAGAATAGTAGTAATTAAAAAGTTTGGATGACTTGGAATTATTTAGAGTATTTTGATAATATTTGGGGGTTGCTTTTTCATTGGGAGAAGCAAGACCCCCATCGATCTTGCTTCTCCCACAACATTGATGCGGGGTGGTGAAGCGACGCCCGCAGGAGCCGGTGTCGCAAATGCTGATTTTCCGCAGAGTTGCAGTGCGTAAAGGGAAAAACATCTTTTTTGGACTTCTCTGTGTATTTATTTTCAAAAGAAATACATTCATATTTTTTTTATAAGTGCTGCAATTCTGTTTTGCTCCAAACCCTTGAAAATTGCATGATGGTTATTAATTGACTGGAACAGTGATGGAAGTGCTGCACCATTTCCGCCAAATTGTATCATGAACGAAAGTCCGCTACGTCTCGCACCAAAGCGCTATTTTTCCTAAGAACTGTGCAACACCTGCACTAAAATGGGCAAGGCAAAAAGAAATATTATGATTGGTTGATTTTAATATTTATAGAAGTAGGAGGAAAGGAAAATGGTACAAATAAGTATTTCAGTACATCTCTATTCACCGTTTTATTTGTTTTATCTTACGTCAGAGTTAGTCTTGTGCGAATAGTGGATTTTGAGTTCGAAGTGAATAGTGGTCTTGGCCGAATATTTTCGATTCGAATATCAAATAGTTTTTCCACGCCTTTCCCTACCATTGCACAATATTTAGACGAAAACCTAGCTAAACCTGTGACGGTTATTCAACTTGTTCATTTATTAGCTAAGCTTAATCTATCTTATGAACTGTGACCTCAGAAGGTCTGGTGTCTTGGGATGGCAAATAAACGACAGATTTGACATAACATTAATCCTATAGAGATGGCCAACTATACCAATTGAGTGAATTTACAAATCTTGCTATATAAAATATTCTTTCTTTAATCTCAAGTTAAAAAAAAAATGAATCGCGCATGATGAGCACAGGTTGTAAAAGCATCTCTGCCTAACATAGTATACACTCTTGCATAAAAGTTTAATTTTGAAACTTTTACTACAATGTAGATATACACATTCACAAAGTTTCCGTTTATTTTCAAATACAGTCGGTATGGGTAGACCATCCCGCTTTGAATGTATGCTTTTCTTCCAAGCACGCAATTACGATATTGTATATCGCGGCGCGTTACCCCGTTAAGTGCACTTCTTACCGAGCACGTATGTAATGCAGAGAAGCAACACCCGCAGAGCTCACTTCCGCAAGTTTTGCTTCTCCACAGTGCTCCGGTGCTTGGTAAGAAGTGCACTCAACGGGGCTAACCCGCCGCAATCAACACTTCGAAAAACGCGAATAGTGCAGTTCCTTTCGAAGCGAATATCGAATAGTGTATTATTCGGAACTACTATTCGAAATTTCGAATATTCGCACAACCCTAGTCAGAGTACAGTCGAAGGCTCGAAGACATACAACCACAAAGACATACTAAAAGCGTGAGTCACGGGGTATTCTGTGCGCTTGATTCGTTCAGGCGATGAAAGACTACGCACAAGAAGATGGACGAATACCATGATGTCGCACTTTGGTCATCCAAGGGTTGGTCCCAGTGGCTCAAAGCAGTGGCTGCGCTTTAAATTAAGGTGAAACGAAGAATCAAGATTGCTCGTCAACCGCGCTGGTTGGTTGATGCGCTAGCTAGCCGGACTGATCACCGACATCATCTAACTTTTCAGACGATGTGAGGAGCTAGAAGTTGCGAAAAAAACGTTGCCAAATTGTAGGATGGCAACTAGTGCGATAAGACAGAACCAGGGTCTTGCACTCCCGATGAGATCACTTAATTACCGTGTCTGCCGCATGCCTCCATGCCACCTCTCACCAGCGCTCGTGTGATGACAAGCTTCACCGCTTTGCACCAGTGCTAGGTGCGGCGGCTGACATGGGTGAGCACCTGGGTTAGTGCAATAGGCTCAGTAATCATGCTCAGTACTATTCCAGGTCTACATTCAAAAATCTGCTCTGAGGTAAAAAAAAGTAGTTTTATACTAATTGAATAAATGGTAGTCAAGGTTGTTCCCGTGCAGCTGACGATCGAAAGAACTGCGAACTTTGACCTCACTCTGGTTCGAACGCTGCTCATTTTCACAATATTTGGGGGTGGTTGTTTTGGCAGTTCATAATATTCGAGTCTTGAGTTTGATAGGTTCATGAAACTTGGGGGACGCAGTTTTATTGATAGATGAGCAGGTTTTTGCAGGCATCTTACAGAACTTATATGTGTTTACAGGCTCAGTAAACTACCGGCTGTAAAAGTGTGAAGGGAGAGAAGCTTTATTTCAACTAAAGTGTCCTGCTATGGTTCATTTTTCATCAATGTTTTAGTATCCATTGTAAATATAATCTTCTCTGACCAGAGGTTATTTTTTAAAATGAAGGCCTGTGTTCCTTTGGCACCCTATTTATCCTTCTTGCAAAGGGTAATGAGTAATATGCTCCAGTATCAAAGAGGATCTTCAGCCATTATCAAAGAACTCATTTAGTGATGCAATCGCTTTTTTACTTGCCAAGTCATGTGCTAACAGATGTTGGCATCGGCTCCAAGAGGATCAGTGACTACTCCATACCAATGTTTTTGCCTTCTACAGAACCTGCTACAAGAGGTCAAATGTTACTTCCATCACTGCTGTAATGGAGTAGCTCTCGCTATTGTACCATAAATGCAGCGCTGCAGCATAAATAGAGTTATAAAAATTCAAATATCTTTAGAAGTGAACGCATTGGGTGCAGTGTTCATTGCAAAACATGGAACTATATGTCACAGAGATGTGGTTTTGCTAAAAGTAAAAACATCTCACATGTAATACCTTCGTGGTTTTGTTTGTATCTTTCATTTTTCAAAGTAATAACCAGTTGTGACTTCATATTGTAGCATGGTAACATGGTTTAGTGGCAAAATATTATTCAATTGCACTTTAAGTAAAGAAACCTGGCTTTCAAACCTGATTATGAATTTTATATATGTTTAATCCAGCCTGTACACTTAGTAGGATTGAGTGTATAATTTAATATTCGGAAGTATTCTACTTCATTTAGATTTTCTTCGTACCTACAAAGGAAGCAGTAATTCTAAGAAATCATTTATCTATTAGAAGCATATTAACCGAGACTGCTAACAACTACCATAGAATACAGCGCCTCCGCCCATTCCATGCTAAGCGCGCAATTTTGTCAGATCTAGAGAAATATGCACAGTACATTTATATGTAAAATTGACAACCGGACAAGCACCCATCCCCCCATTTCTTCTCGATTATTTCTAAACTTTGAGTGGGCGCTCGCCCGGTATTTTACAGTAAGTGAAAGAAAAACTGCTAGACATTCAAGCAACCAATCAAGAATGAAAAGCAAATCCTAAGGAACAAAACATACACATCAGCTAGGTGCCTGAGGAAGTAAAATAGAGAAGATATTAATCTACAAGGTTGGTTCTACAGTATTCGAATTCCTGTTGTGCCATCTCAAGGGTTTGGAACTCGCTGCTTGCTTAATTGTTTGGAATTTGCCAAGTAGCTCTCTTTCAAATTTGTAGTACAAGTCCTGAACATTTTTGCTTGTTTTTTGTGCTGCTTTTGAAAGTCTCCTACGTGGCAAAACTCTCAGGTAAGCTATATGATTGGAAAGTGTTCAGGTGATCTCAAGTTCGACCATTTATGACCTCACTTTGAAGGTTCGGCTTATTTTTAGGTCCACACATCAATAATCTATTCATGTACAGTCCATTTTTTAAGGGCTGCACTTGTTATCCAGGGCTTAGTTTCACATTAAAGGCACTTCAGTTTGTGTATCCTTTATGAAAATAGAATGCTACTGGCAATTATTTGTGAAGCCTGCCCATCCAGCCCTGCTCAAGCATGTTTTCTTTTTACTCCCTCCTTTCCATTTTGCTGCTCACTCGTCAGTTTTATTTCTGTGTGGTGTGTTAACAAAACCAACTAGTACTTTGTAAGTTGCATGGGCCATGGGTGTGTCTGTATTAACCACCTTGATGAAACATTAACCTTTTCTTTTTGGTAGAAATCATTTTTTTATTTTCATAGTGGTTTGTTTTCTTGTATTTCAAGTTTTGTACACTAGGTACTATACATTGACCACATTATCTGGAGGGTGAGATGTATTGCTTAAATCATACTTGATCCTTACAGTGTCCTCATCTGATTCACCTCTAAACATGTCTGCTAGAGGCCTAAAATCTTGCATTACGCTTTGTTTTCTGCTTTTTGTTCCTTGCAATCTTATCAGTAGTGTCACGAATTGCACACTCTTGACACTGTCTTCCACCCCAGTGACTTGGTGGGTGGAAGATAGTGACAGCAACACCTCAATGTTGCTGTTGGCGGGTGTCCTGCCCCTCAAAATAAAATGGTGCATTCTTGGAGCCGGTGCCCATACGCCTGAGTCTCCTAACACAGTCGACTCTCGATAATTCAAAGCTCACGTGAACGGCATAACATTTTGAATAAGTGTACTTCAAATTAAAAAAAGAGAAACACTCGAGCCATATGTTTTTTATTCATATGCTCACCGGGTGAAGTAGATATTTGCTTGCCTCCGCTAACGGAGCCGCGCATCAGTTCGCTAACGAAGACGCACGCTATAAACTCTGCTCTGCAAGTTGCAAAGCTTTCTTCAGACACCCTCAGCAATTTCTTCACCAAAGATGACGCAAAATTTTACTCCGTAGTCCCACTGGCAGTTTTCACATCAGCGGCACTCAGCGCGGAAAGCGACGCAATAGTTCCTGTATGCCTAGTCACTTGCACAATGTCACTGTCTGAAAGTGGATTGCAGACCACAGCACATTTGTTGACATCAATATATTTGATGGACAAAACATCTCATCGGTCTGGGTAATGTCTCAAACCAAACTTTGTTGGTTGTTTGTGCCGCACGGCTGCACTTGCTTTTGTAACATCCGTGGGAATGACACCATAATGTGCAAGCGTGCGGTCATGCTAACTAATTAGCTTGGCTTGGCCGCTTAATTGGCTGGGTAGCCTAACAACTTAATTGCGCACCTTGCTCATTCTTTTTTTTTCCTCGACCGCACACACGTTAGGTAAAAGCGCAGTGTTCAAGGGTGCGATTGAAGCTTGAACAGCAGAATCGCGAGGCTTTTTCATGTTTCCAGTGTTGCTGGACTTTTTGAGCATGTAAAAAAATCCCTCGAATTAACCAGTGACCGAGGTGAAACTTTAAATTACTGCGCATTTTTTCCCATAGACTCGTACGTGTAAATGCCAGGACCGCATCCCTGCTTCGAACTAACCGAAAGTTTGAATAAGGCGGTTCTGAATTACTGAGAGTCGACTGTAATATGCAACAACATAGTATATGGCCACAAAACAGTGCACTGTAGTAGTGGCACAATGCTCTAAAAAAATACTTTGGCTACTTAACTTGGATAAGTAAATACAGTCGCCGACCGATTTTTCGCACGCCGAAATTTCAGACATGCTTGATTATTGGGACAATTTTCCGGAACCGTCGCTCATCTGAAGATCCGGACAATGTACACCTTGTCACTCCATTTTTCTGACTATTTAGCGGCCGCCATACTGCCAACGTTAACTGAGCCGCCACCATTTTTGTCCGTTTCAGTTTTTTCCCGTAGTCTGGACACCACGTTGTACACTATGCAGGAGGCGCTGTTCATGTGATACAGAGGCTGGATTGAGGCTATATTTGAATCATCAACTCTTTTTCCCGCAGTCGAGGTTGATTTGATTGCCGCTTTTCTTTTAATTGTGCTGTTCATGGGGATCACCAGGACCGTGGTCGTCTAAACGTCCGGGCACTGTCCGCTGCCGTTCTGCGCGTACCTTCTGCTGTCGTCCTGCAGTGTCAAATGGCACCGACTGTACCTTCAACTTCATTGTCTGCGCCAATGGCTAGGTTCAACTTGGTCTTTTGCATTTGCGCTGTGCCCCTGGGAAGCCTGCCGAATTCACGGGGGGTCCTGGTCATCTAAATGTCCAGGAACCTTTTTCGATGTCCGCTGCTGTTCTTTGTTTATAGTTTCTTTTATGAACAACTTTACATGACGCGGTCGTGACATGGACTTCGTACAGGCCATCGTGCGGCCATCCAATGCAGACCGCTGAAATGCGAAATGATCCGATTGCGAAGAAGCGAAACACCGTCCAGCAAGCTACCGACCTGTTTCTCCGGGCATTTAGTTTATGTAAAGTGTCGATACAGTGATTCTTTGACTGAACTCACTTCTTCAAACTCCTTGCTTATTCAAACTTCTCCATGATCCCGATTGAACTTGTATAATCGGTCGGCGACTGTAACACAATCAAGTGTTTTGTGTTATTCTTTTTTTTTTCTTTGTGTCCTATCTTTTTTTGGCCTTTTGCATCGCCTCAGGAGGTACCCAATCAATTTTCTTTCTTTGCAGAGTTTTCTGTTTGAAGGGTTGAAATAGCCTGCCTGCCCTTGGGATAGTTATGCTAACATTTGTTTCCCCAACTTTCCAGCTGAGCCTGTCCTAAGGGAACTCCCTCAAAACCTTCTTCTCTTGGAATGCATCCTAACCAGACTCGTCAATATAAACTGAAATGGTAACCCTCTTGCATCTTGCTCATTTCTCAGTCCTTGTTTGTCTTTCATCCAACGTTCCGACAGTGCAAAATGCACAAACCACGCAGTTTTGATGAAAAGAAAAACTGCGCCATAGACACAAGCTTCTGTCATTTATTCCAAACTTTTGAGTTGGAATAGAAGCTGACTGTGTAAAATGTTGTACTTTAACTTTGAGTAAAATATGCCCAACAGTTCTGTCTGCTGTGAAATCTATAATCTGATATCAACTATTAGGGAAGGAATGTGTACATAGGATTTAACTGTGTGTCTTTTTTTCTGTAGCACTAACACTGTGTTGTTCCTATCCTTATTATGCTGTTTATTTGATGCTATCTCGGTTTCTTATACTTTTACCTTTGCCTCAGCATTACACATTTTGCATGTATACAGGGAATGACCTGCACTTCATTCAGTAACTTTTGAAATATTCACCTTATCCGAGACATTCCATTTAGAAATTTGTTTCCCCTTCTTCTAATATGTCGCAGCCGTTTTAGAATTCAGACAACTAAATTTTGCTAGAATATGAAAGCAGAAGAGGGACACAGAGGGCAGTACAGATGATGCAGGCACTGTGCCATTCTTTGGTAAATTTAAGCTGTGAGGAGACTGAGATATCTAAAGAAAAGGAGCAATGGAGCTCCCACCCAGAAGTGACAAGCTACCCACACCCGCGGCTCGAGCTGCAGGCACGGGCGACGAATCGTCGCAAAACCATCTGGCAGCATCTCCTTATCTGAGAGTCATGTGTGGTTGTAGCCAAGGCTCGCCACGCTTGTTCTATGGCACTAAGTTTTAGCTCTTTTTTTCCTTAGTTCCGGCATGGCATACTCTGGACAGCCCAACTTCTACTGGATAGCACAGAGGAGGATTTACCGGGTGATTCAAGGAGACGGCAGGTTCTTTAAATCGACCGCAAAATTCGGTGTCCTAACCTATCGCGCTACGACTTTGTGCAGCGTTGCCCACAGATGGTGCATTTTTTTTTGTAAAATTTGCAAAAGGCGAACTTACCTGAGGAAAAAGTAAAGAAAGAAAAAGGCTTAGCTCCTATGGAAACGCAGCGACGCCACCGGTCTGAAAACAACACGGCGCCGTTTCGCACGGGAGACAAGAGATGGCGCAACGAACGAGCATACGGCGCCGAGAGCCGGCGTGTTTCGCAGACAATCTTTTTGACTCAAAAGCAGTGCATGTTCCGCAGGCGGCGACAGTCGCAGAAACAAAAACGGGCGCGGTAACAACAAGGAACTGCAGTTCCTTGTCTGCTAAATAGACGCTTTCAGCGCGCGCCAGATTGAACCGCCTTGGCCGACCTTCTCTTGTCTTACCGCGATGCCGAGCCACTGAAGCGGGTGTTGACGAGCCTCCACAAGGGCCTATGCTGGCGAGAAGGACACAGTAATAATTAAAATGGCACTAACCTGTCCTGCTGTGGTAATGATGACGTGAAGCGAACGGAATAAGAGAGAACGAAAACTGAAGGTCGGTTATGGCGGCGCCCATGCACAGCTGCCTGAAAGCGTCTATACGCCGGCTCTCGGCGTCGTCTGCTCATTCGTTGGCGGCAATTGGCGTCGCGACCGCTTACGCCATCTCTTGTCTCCCGTGTGAAACGGCGCAGTGTTGTTTGCAGACCGGTGGCGTCGCTGCGTTTCAATAGGAGCTAAGCCTTTTTCTTTCTTTACTTTTTCCTCAGGCAAGTTCGCTCTTTGCAAATTTTACAAAAAAAAAATCACCATCTGTGGGCAACGCTGCACAAAGTCGTAGCGCGATAGGTTAAGAAACCGAATTTTGCGGTCGATTTAAAGAGCCTGCCGTCTCCTTGAATCACCCGGTAGTTTTCTGGCTTCCAACCACTGCTTTAGTATATTTGGAGGACAGGCAACAAATCTGAAATTGAAACGTGCCAAGTAAGGTGTATATTTCAAAAGTTAGTTGGTGGGTTATAGGTAATTAGGTGGCTAATTATCACCTTTCATTTGCGCGTTAACATCCGCCGCGGTCAACAACATTATCCGGAAGAAATCATATCTTTATTTCGAGTGTTCTTTCTTTTTTAACTTATTCTGCCTCTCCCAAATCACTTGAAGGACCCTTACTGAGCAGGTACCCACCAAAAGTGGAATGTGATTACTAATCAAAACCTTAGAGAATCTGGCACTCTCTTGGATCTGATTTAGTATGCATACTCTGACCAATCCAAAAATATAGAAGGCAAACAGCGGGCACCCTTACGAGCTCGGTAGTTAGCACCAATATTTGCACCCTTAATGAGGCCACACACTCGCGACTGCTTGAGACCACGTGCCTTAAAACCTATCTCTTACGACGAGAGAACACGCCGGTGCCATTTATCGAGCAGCTGTGGAACTACTCTACATTTCCTCATTCATTTTTCTTTTTTCCTTGGCTCGAAAATATTTTCACAATGTTATAAACAACTCGTATACAGCATATGCATTTGCTCTTGCAAATATCACAAAACCTTTGCTCAAGTGAAATGCAGTTCGAGGGCCACCTCATAGATGATGCCGGCGTGCCAGTTTGTTCTGCGAAACAGATCGCAAGAGCTCGGGCCTAAGCAAACACAAGTGTGTGAATGTGCCTTTACTCTCTATCTAAAACGCGAGCGAAGAAAATGGATTAAATAAAAGCGAGATGCGAATCAAGAAAGGAAACGAAAGCGACAAAACCCTCTCGTTTCCGCCGCGTCGGACCTCGCAGGACTCCATCGGACGGGCGTTTGGCCTGTCGGGCTCTTCCCCGAGACCCGGTAGCCGGAGCAGCGGCTCCAGTCCTCTGCTCCGGGCCTCCACCCTGGACTCCCGGCCTCCCTCCGTTCCCCGCGCGAGACGTCCCGGCACCCCCCAGCCCCCCTCCAGGGCGCCGCCTCGGCAGCTTCAGAGGGGATTCTCGTACGGGACCGTCGAAATCCTCACTGTGTCCCCGGTTTAGCGGCCTCCTCTCAAAAGCGCTCCACCGGACCCTCCCGCCGCTCGGACCCCGAGAAGCGAACCACTCGTGTGGTGGCTCGCGGACATCCGGAGGAATCGGAGTGCATCGTCAAGACGGAAGATGGAGGAAAGCGAGTTTCTCCTCCGTTCGGTGCTCTGCTGTGGTTTTACAATTTGCAGCAAAGTTGCCGTGGCGTTGCGAGTTCGGCTTTGTGCGCGGTGCATCGAACTCGTCTCAAGATTGTGTTCTTTCTTATTATATTTTATAAGCTCAGGTTTTAGGGACAGCTTGCGCATTCACATTTCTGCAAGTCTGGAGGGTGGGACCGCGTCCAAAGACTGAAGTCGGAAAGACCGTGGTGGCGCTGTTTGTCTACGGGCAACAATTCATACTTGCGGCATTTCACCGGCGTTGTACGACGCTAGCATAACCTCAACTTTGTATTTTTTTATTTTAGCCGGCGACCCCGCTGCATCCCCGCGCGTTGCAGTGCCGGACTCCTCGGAATACCTGTGATCTTTTTTTTACCCGACGCCTGGAAGAGTTTGTGGAAGCGGTTGTGAAAGTAGAACGAGGAGAAGCCGTCAAGTGCGACAAGCGCACAAATTTTTCTTCGGCTTGCGATACCTCATGGAGGGGGACCCCGACGCGTTCCCCACGTTCGTCGGATTCCTTTTCCCCGTCACTTCCAGGCATCGGCCTCCTTCCTTTTGGGCTGGTCTGCATTCCCTGCCTACCGCGTCGAACGTCACGATGACTTCAAGTTTGATGTCTACGACATTTGAAGCACACGGGAGAAGTTCAAGGTGCGGGTTTGGTCTTGCTCAAAGTTGATAAGTGCAAAAAAGGACAGGCGGGAACGTGGTCAGTGCCCCACATCCTGGGTTAGACGGGCACCTGTCACGCCCAACGGCATGTCAGGGCACCCCGCAGTTGGTTGCAGCCTCTAAAGTAACGCCGTTCCTCGTGTCTTTGCGAAAGGGAACAGATTTTATGCACACTTTTTTTTATTTCGCGAGCGATGTCTCGTGCGTTTGCAGGAACGACTTTAGTGGGATAGTCCCTTTTTTTTAGGTTTATGCGAGGGTTTGTTTGATACTGCAGCTAGACCGATAAATACATACTTCTACACTTGTTCCGCAACACTCAAAGTCACAGACATATCCTTACGGTAGCTCGAGCATGCCTACACAGCTTTGGAGAGGTCTGGCAGCGTGCCACGGCCGTCGGTGTTGTTGCGTTTAATCACCGACACTTGCGTACTTGCGAGTCAACCGTTGAGCGAATATGTTACGAATGTTGAACTAAATGTAGTTATTTGCAATATATATGTTATATTTATGCATAATGAATATCCTAAAGGACACTAAGATGGCTGTTATAAGCTGCTGCAAGTGTTGCAGAAGCATACTGTTACGACATGGATGCATTTAAATGTACAGAGTGAGAACTGTTGTAAGCTTATAGTAATGTAGTACTATGTATTGTGCCAAAATGAAAAGAGATGCTTCCGTGAAATTCTTAAAAGGGGCAATCAGTTATGTAAGAAAATAGAGTGTTGCAAAACTTGTTGAGTTTGTTCTTACACCTCTACGAGTCGAGTTCCTCGTTAATGAGCAGAGCATACTGTTTCTTAATGTTAGCCGACATGTAATGCAAGATGACCACTTCACTACTGAAATAGAAATGTTTTATTTAGTAGAAAACATGCATACAATTTGACATAGGAAAGTTCTCTGGAAATGTGCAAGTTTGTTATGATCATACATATCCGTGAGGCACATTTTAGTGGTAATTTGAGAAGGAAACTCTATTCTTTTTCAATCATGCAGCTGGGTTTACTGGGGACCCTAACGACATAGGCTTCATCAATAGACATACACTGGCATTTGTTATCTCGATTTTAAGAATTTATGGATGGGACTTCATTCCTGTAGGATTTCTACATGGCAAAGGGTTAAGAGAGATCTTGGGTACAGATATGTCATTTGCATGACCAATAGATTCTATCACATTTTTCTTTCTTGTGCATGTCTAATGAAGACCGAGGTTGGTCTTTTTTGGAACCTCGTGTGCTGCCATTGTCGTGAGAGAAAAGAATTTGCGTTTCTTTGTTTTCCTGGAGGGAGAAATTGGTCACGTTCACTACGTTACAAGTCAGCGAAGTTCTGTTTTTCATCAATAATGCAACATCTGGGTAGATATTGACATGGTTTGTCATTTATGCGTGCATTGTGGTGTGTTGCCTATGGAACTGTGTTCAGGGCTGGTCCAAAGGAATCATTGGATGGGGCACGACACATTTTATTGAGAAATTTTGTTAAATGACTTCGGGTTAATCTAGTGAGACAGGAATAGATACAAAGTGTTATGGTCTCAGAATTCTCATTATAGAGCTATTTAAGTAAAAGCATCGCCAGCAAAGTTGGTTTATGTGCTGTAGATATACATATAGGTCACAAAGTGATTGCAGAAATTTTATTTGGGAGCAATGTGCTACAACTTGGATTGTTTCAGGGTAGCATTTTATGACCTAAAAACAAAATTGTCTGCATCGTTGACATTCCATAGTGTCAGCTACACAGTTTATAAGCAGAATATATTATGTATGCCACTCTAATTATTTGCAGACTCCTTTTAGCTGCTCGTGTATGAATTCGGTGAATGTGGGCCACAAACATATCAAATGGAGCACAAGCAAGGACTGGTATGTGTGTGTGTGTATTTCCGGTTTATGTGAGTTGAAATGTGCCCTTACGTTCGGTGCTATGCATACAGAGAAGGAAATGTACTGTTGTCTGTTCATGTGTCACCATGCACACATGCAGTAAAAAAAAAAATACAAAGAAGTTGTGTGTCCCACTTGTTCATTTTCCTGGGTGCCGCAAAAACTAAAATCTTTTATCTAAAAAGAAAATTGACACTGGCGAGAAAAGCAATTTTTTTTGTTCTAATTTTTAAATGTATCATTACACATCTTACAAAAACACCGAACCTAGTAAAAAAAATTATTCTACTTGGTAAGGGCAGGCATGTCTGAAAATGAAGTTTCTTCGAAAAAAGTTTTGCCCAATATTTACGTTACAATATGAATTTTTCGATTTGCGAGTGAAACCGAAAGTGGACCCCTGCGAGATGATAGCGTTTGTACCCAACTAGTGTGTGCTCCGAGTTCGCTGGACCTTGGAGCACAGACACTAGACATTTGCAAGCATGGCGCCCCAACTGGTGCCCCATGAGTGCAAACGCGTGCAGCTTGTGCGTGAACAAAGCTTTGGCAAGCTTGAAATTGCATGGGCTTGTCCGCACGAGAAGAGACACGGCGGCAGCCAGTGGCCTTGCTTGCAATCGTTCATAGACGTTTCCAAGTACAGCCTGTGGGCGCCGCCATCTTGCCTCTGCTGTGGGTCGATCGTCTGATAGTCAAGCATTGCTGAGGCCACGGGTATGCCTCAGAAATGCTAAGCTATCGGACGATCTACCCCAGTGACCTCTGTGACAATTGCTGGATCGTGCTTCCCCACTCTGCGACTGCGGTTACCGGATGGGCATCAGTTGCGTGTACCGAAATCGACTTTTTGGAGCGTTGCAGAGGCCGGGCGGCAGCATGCTGAAGACATGTTTTCTACTCGTTTGTTGTCGTTCGCCGAAGAAGTTTTTTAGAACCTTGTGTAAACGGTAATAATGGCCTTCGAGAACATGTGAAAATTTTTACGAAAGCACAGCACCGCAGGAAACAGGCACAACTCGTTGAACGCAAGTCTCGCCGGTCTCGCGACGTGATCAAAGCTTCCTTGGCACGCCGGAGTGCTGTTGTCTCTGTGCCCTCATACACTTGGATACCGATCAAGAATCGATGCCATGGTTCACGACCTGGACAAGAATCAACCTTTCTCTATAGGTGAGCTGCAGGCAGTGCTAAGATCAGCCAAGTGTAATACGGCCCCACCCATGAGAGAATCACGATCTCAGCTCTCAAAAACCTCCCATAGAAAGCCCTACAACAATTACTAGACTGGATGAACAGAATCTGGGAAGAAGGTTCGATACCTAAAGAATGGAAGACCTCAACGGTTCTGCCTATACCAAAACCTCCAAAGTGCCCAGACGACATAAAAGATTTACGTCCCATATCGCTAACCTCTAATCTATGCAAAGTCATGGAGCAATGGTGTTAGCGAGAATAACATGGACCCTAATAAACGAAAAAAAAAAACCTCACTACAGGCAAACTGGCTTGAGATCAAATCTATCAACGTAAGATAGTCTAGCCCTCATCAAGAAGGATCTGTTCATGTACCCCCTGAGCAACATTCCGAAGGCCATGATCGCAAGAGACGTGAAGAAAGCATTTGCGACTGTTCCACATGAAATGGCTATAGAAGCCGCAAGAAGCAGGGGACTGAAAAGAAGAACCCTAAATTTTATCAAAGCTTTTCTTTAGACCGATGCTACAGTTATTATTGTAAATGTGAACAAAACGACCAAGACTAAATATGGAGGTGTACCATAGGGCGCAGTCATTTCACCAACGGTTTTCAATATGGCTATGCCGACTTGGCATATTTGAGCTGCAAGATGTCGAAAACAGAGGGTACTTCTACTATATATGTGGATGACATTACCATATCATCCGCCGGCTCTGCGCCCGAGCAGCGAGCCAGGCTCCAACAAGCCCTATGAATCAGATCCGCCTTTCTCAGGAGGGCTGGACTCTACAGACAAGATGACAGTCATGAACATTGTATGCAAGCGTGCGAGAGCAAAGCTGAATAGGAGACTCCATGGAGGGAATTCAAATTCAGCGCCAGCCAAGCATCAGAGTCCTGGGTCTCTCATTTAACCAGGACAGGGGAACTGCGAGTTGCCTCAACTAGCTAACAACACAATGGAAAGACGGGACAAAACTTCTAAAGGGGATCTCGAGCAGATCATGGGGAGCAACTTCTACGGAGGCTAGTCAAAGCTCCACTCTAAAGCCGTCTACAGATTCATGCACCTGGACCCCCCCTTCCCCCGAAATAAATTCCTGGCTATGCCACTGCGACCAAGCTCGCAGAAAACAATATTGCCATCAGTGGTCAGTTTTAGTTGCTCCTCAGGCCCCATCCCCTACATCTAGCTGATTCCCTTCCCAATTCTCAGCTCATGCCGTCTTGCCAGGTGGTATCAACCAAGATCGGGGCAATCACCTTTTCTTTTCAATAAACGCATTTACTACTAGCATCACAGACCCGGACACCTGTGTCCCATCCACTGCTGACACCCTGGTAAGTTTGTTGCAGTGGCATAGCCAGGGGGGAGGCCTATGGGGCTTCAGCCCGACCCCCCCCCCCCTTTTCTCCCTCTCCTCACCTCAAGTCTTGGACATCCCAGAAAAAAGTCTGGCTAAGCCACTGGTTTGTTGGTCTCATTTTTCACAAAAAGGTAACCTTAAAAGTTTATCGGCTAAAATCACCACCTCGGTGTACGTTTGGTGAAAGTTTAGAGCAGAGATATTTATCTTTAGCATGTGTAGCGGTTTCCTCTGTCACTTGTGTGTTACAAATTGACATGTGCGTTTTTTTATGGGATTCGGCCGATAAAATGCATCTTGTGTTAATACAGAAAACTCGCCTGGTCTCTGAGGACAAAAGTGCCTTGGTGTTCGCTTCGAAGTACCGTGTGACGATGACCGGCCACTCGGCAGATGGATGCAAAATTAGCACCGACAGGCAAGGTAAAATGGTGGGCAGTGGTGGTAGACTCGATTTCTATATATTTACAGAATTTTTTTTAGAGAACTAGCTTCCTTGCATAAGAACATATACTTAGAATTTCTGAAAAAAGGAAACTCGCTCTCGGTAGATTCTTGTCGACTTTACTAAAGCGTTCAAATATCTAGATCATAATTTGCTGCAAAAGTAGTATGGATTTCATGGCCATGTATAAAAACTTTCATGTTCGTATTTATCTTCCCACAGACAGTATATTCATATAAATGGCATCATCTGGAATAAAACCAATTGAATTGGGGGTTCCCCAAGGAAGCATTCTCGGGCCCTTTTTTTTAACAGCAAAGCTGTTAAGGGCTAGTTTCCCCACTATCGTGTCCGGCGGTGTGTCGACACAAAACTTGAGCGAGTTTACCGTCGCCCTACGTCATTGTCTCGCCTACCAATCGTGTGTGTCCTCTGTCCTGTGACGTCGAGATTGCGCTAGCGCTCTTATCAGTTGCCCTTTGGACTTACGATGGGTCAGTCGCTTGCCGTTTGTTCGGAGGAAAAAGAGCTGGAGCGCAAGGAGCAGCGACAAATGGCCGTGCAAACGCTGCGAAGCCACGCTTATAACAATCAGTTTCTAGACTGGAAATAATCAGTTTCTAGTCCAGATACAAAATAACTGGTTATAACGATTGAAATTTTGGGTTTTCTCACTATCGTTATAAGTGGGTTGCACTGTACTACCGTTATCGCCTCGAGTTCCACTACGTCAAGTCGTAATTCCGAATCCCCGTGGAGAAATAGTGCAACCAACCTCTGCTGTGTTGTCCTCGCGCAATGCAGCAGAGGCTGGTTGCACCATTTCTCCACGGGGCGTGGTGCCGTCGGGGCCGAGATGTGCTCCGATCGCAAAACGAAACTTAAAAGCACATAGAATTTGTGCGGTTTTTCAGAAAGCCGTAAAATTCTTTGCGTGGCTTCTATCGTTCTGCAATTTGTTGATTTAGTATTGTTCTATGATGCTGAGCAATTTTGTAATTAAAAGCATGCCCTTAAACACAATATTAAAAAAGTTAATTATGCAAAAATAATTAACTATCTAATTGTCCCAGACTTTAATCATTTTTCTAAATAGGCCCCTGGCCCAGGACCAGTATGACACAAGCCTTTTTTTGTTGCAACGCATAGTTTTCGCAATATTGAATGTGTCCACCTTTCGTGAAACACCCTGTAGATACCCAACACGAACTACAGAACCTTGGGAAGTACCCTTTTTTAGAGTGAATTACGGCCACCAAAGCAGTGTTGGGGAAAGTACATCTAAAAGGTACTTCAAGTAAAGTACAAAGTAAATTAGATGTGATGTACTGTAAGTAAAGTAGTACACTGGGTGCAGGGATGGGCAGTATTTCAAATACAAGTATTTGAAACATGTATTTCAATTACTTTGTGTATTTTGCATTTGTATTTAACTACAAATTGGGTAATGTATTTGACGTGTGTATTTAAATACTAAAATGTGGGTATTTCAAATACAATTGTAATTAAATACAATTTTGTGGGCAAAAATACATCCCTCAAATTTATAGTCACTGTCCAGAGCAGGAAGAAAACTACGTTCTGCACCGAATGCAGTGTCTCTCAATCAAGCACAAGCGTTTAGTGACTTTGTGGTTACGGTGCTAGTCCAGGGCAAGAATAGTGACGAAATCGACATTCACAGGCAGACTGGCTAAATAAGTGCCTGTGACAACTTGTGATGCTTTCCAGCCTGATTTCCATCCATATTTTTACCTGGAAGATTCTAAATGCGCGGGTCGTCCAGATTTTCGTAACTGGTGCGAGTAGCAACAATAAAAAATTCTCTATTAGTGCTGCGCGTCTTGGTCGTCTCGGTTCTTTGTTGGTCTATACCAAAATGTAATCGACAAAAAAAGCTGCTTGAAGCTCTAATTTTTTCACCTATTACGTCCAAGCTGATTACTTTTTTTTTTTTGTGATTATATTTCTATTACATTACTAGAGCCTCGCACACTAACTCCCGAATGTGCGATGCAAAATTAAAATGACATACCTAGAAACCCGTTGCAGGTGCCCCGAAGTCGGTGACGCAAATTTTGAGGAATGTATTTGGAAAAGTATTTGGAGGAGACCAAGTACATTTGGTTGTATTTGTATCTTGTACTTAAATGCTTTTGTGGAAATGTAATTAGATTTGTAATTAATTACATTTCTGACGAAGTATTTTGTATTTGTATTTTGATACATATTTGCATGTATTTTGCCCATCCCTGACTGGGTGTAATGTACTTGAAGTAAAGTGCTATAAATACAATGTACTTTCAAAGTAAAGTACAAGTATTTTAATTCAATCTTTCATGATGTCCTTTAATTTTAACTGGTGTGCATTGCCCAGGGGTAATCAGGGTGAATGACCTATTTTCAAAAACAGCGGCGAATATCTGATAAAGTCAAGTGGCCACAGAGTAGTTATTTTCAAGAATAGAGCTAAATTCAAAAGTACCTCCTCTGGATTTGGCACCGCTTGCACTGGATTTTTGTACCCAAGGGTGCTAAATATATACTAGGAGAGAGCATAACGTCAGTGAGTGTGCAAGCGAGCTGGTGATATTTAATCATAATGTGATACCTGAGATTGTGGTGCGAAAAAATTGAGGGACTTTCAAGTCGAAGGAAGAGACAAAAGAGAATGTCTCAAAACATTGTGGCGTTCTCCTCTATTGTCTTTCTCTTCGACTTGAAAGTTATAATTGTTCTGCACCACAGTCTTGGGGGCTAGGCTATGATTAATTTTGCCCTCATAATATTTTAAACCTCCTCACTTGCGCTGAACGATCAAGAAGTAGCAAGAGTTCAAAAAGCTACTGGAAAGCCGCCCCCAGAACAAGCGGAGCGATGCGTCGTCTGCTCACGTCTCTGCTGAGAGTGGAATACCCCTCCCAGTATTTCTTCGGAGTTGACAAAGTATCATTTCGTGATACAAATTTAACGAAACCGAATTTGGGGAATGTACTTTAAAGTCGGGAATTGTACTTTCCTCGGAAAATACCAGAAAAAAGTACTTTAAATAAAGTACAAGTACATTCTCAGAGAATGTTCTTCAAATAAAGTACAAGTTTCCTAAATCTACTTGAAGTAGTACTTTAAGTACAATGTACTTAAAGTACTTCCCAACACTGCACCAAAGTGTGGTATACCGGAGAGCATCTTACGGGAAATGTTTACTGTCGAGACCAGTTATAATGAAGTCGGTTATGAGAAAATAGCGGCCACAGTGAAGTGATCCCGATTTCCCATTCCCTTCTGTACTTCGTTAACCGAAGTCGGGTATAACGAAATAGCGGATATAGCGAAGTGACTTCCGATTCTCACTGACTTCGTTATAACCGGTCTCGAAATTCAAATGTTTATTTCAAACTAAATTGTCCAGAATAATTGCTGAATTCTGTTGAGTTAATGTTTTCTTTCACGTTTATTTTAGTGAGGTTCTAACTTTCTGTACATGCTGTCACATGCAAATTGCATCAATATGACCTCTTTTATACAGTTAGTTCTCTTTTCTAATTTGTTTTTCATTTACGTATTGCATATGCAATATTTTAGTTCTATACAATTTCTTATGGTGGCTGCATCACAACTGCTGCTTTAGGCGGCTCTGGACTCATCAGGCTGTTTTTCACAGCTTTTTTTCCTCTTGTCATCTGCTCAACATTCTTTTTGTTGGAAAAAATAGAGGTACTATCATAAAATAAGATGCACAAAAAAAGCCAGGACAAAAATGTATGGCAGACAAGCGCAACGCGTGACAGACAGAATAGGGCTTCAGGAAGAACGAAGAATAGTCCCTTACCCTGCTGCACATGTGTCGTTCAATAGCGTTCAATATTGAATGGCACATGTGCCATTCAATATCCTGAAGCCCAGTTGTGAGTGAGCGCTTGCTGTCGTATGTGTCCTCTTTAAGTCCTGGTGTTTTTTTTTGCGCTGCTGCAATAAAAGCACTATTATTATTATTAATTGCTTACAACAAAGCGTTGTCAAGTGTTTATAAAAACCAGAGTCTATGAGTCAATAACAATAATAATCCCTGGGGAGGGGGAACAAAGGACAAACACAAATCTTCATACAAAGCTAGGTTTGACCTTTGTCCCCTTTGTTCCCCTTCTCCAGGGGTTATTATTTCCATTCTTGTCCAGCTCGCTTGCACCTTTGCATTAATTGTATTAAACTCCCTAAGTGTATGGTGCGCAGCAATGGCATAGCCAGAAATGTTTTTCGGGGGAGGTTTGGCTGAGGTGGCCGGGATGTCTATGAATTTGGGTGCGAAGGCGAGGAGAGGGGGTCAAGGTGCATCTGGAGGAGGGGGGCTGAAGGCCCATACGCTCTCTCCCTGGATACGCCAGTGGTACCCAGTACACTGTTCTGCACTCAACGCACTAATATGTACACGAGCTACCAGCTCATAGAGTATAAAAATAACAGAGTTTTTGTCAGTTTTATATGCCATTTAAAATACAAAAATATTCTAAGACTGCCTCTGAAGTTGTAGCCTGTGTGTGAAAAGTCCTGGATGATAACTTGTTGCTGTTTCTGATTTTAGAATTTCTCCAAGATCTCGTAAGGTAGTAAGATAACAATAATTGTAGGTTCTGTAGCACGATTTCCAGCTTTATAGCCTTCTTTTCAGCCCCTTGAGATCGAACCGTGTCGCCACTGCGCGGCGGAAATCGGAAACATGAGAAAGCGGGGATACCGCCGTGAGTACTCTGCTACGGGCGCATGTTCAGAAGTATGGATCTCGACGATCCATACTTCCGAACGAGATCTCGTTTCTTCCTACTAAAGGTTGTGTTGCATCGTTTCACAGGCATAAAAATTCAGCAAAGCGATTATTATTAAGTTGGATGCTTCGGCTTCCATAAAATCATAGTGTTGTGGTTTGTATACAACCGCTGGTCCCCATATTAAACTTCACGTTGTGGCGCCGAAATATGAACAAGGAAAGCCTTTTAAGGTGAAGTCCTTTGTAAGTTATTAATGCGAAACCATTAACTGTCCCATAGAGCGAGCTGACGTCGTAAGTTTGAAGCGCAAAAACGGCACCTAGTTTCCTCAATCCCAAAGGAGCGAAGTAAAGCTGATGGATTTCGCCTTCAGTTCCATTGGCTGGCGCGCGTCAACGGGGACCGTGCAAGCCTGTGTCCTAAAAAGATAATTACGTCAGAAATATTAAAGCAGAGATTTTTTACTTTTTTCTGACTTTCCCCAGCACAAGATTTCGATTAAACAGGAATGAAAAATATCGCAAATAAAGCATCACTTGAGTAATCTGAAGGTTAATCGATAAACTGCCCAGTCCCGATATGCGTTAGGTGAGGGCGTCATGGTGCGGGTCATTTGTTGGAGCTGCAGAGTCTACTATGTTTGAATAGAAGATTATTTAGCCAGAAATTTATAATGTTTGCCTTTTGACATCCACAACCCTCACCAAAAAAACTGAAGCGGGTGAACTCGCACTACCGAGAAAAACATCTAATAACACTCATGCTACTGCGTTGCTCGGTTACACCCGTTTGTTTGGATATTGGTACGGATATGAAGGGAAAGGAATGTGCCAGAGGAAAGGAGGTGAACGACGTTTCGACCAAACGGTCCGACTGGTCGAAACGTCGTTCCCCTCGTTTCCTCTGGCATCTCTTTCCCTTCATATCCCTCCCCACATCTTCATATATTATAAGTTTGTTTCACTTGTCCTGCCAACGAAGTTTCCGGATCGTAACTAGAAGAGGCACTCTCTCCTCGTAGCAACGAAGTATAATTGTTCCGACTCCGAAAAACTTACCCACACCATGGCACAATAAAGGGAAACATTGGCTGCAGTGGACTGATACAGCACTAAATTCTCTTCATGTTAAATATTTATATTACTGCAAAAGCTAAAAGTTGCAAAAGCAAAAATGCATAATTCCTGCGATTTCAGTCCACAGTGTCCGTATTATGTTATCCGGGTTGGAATTCATTGTTTTGTTGAATTCCCACGCTGGCGAACCGATAAACTTATTTTAAAAGAAACAAATATTGAACATAAATAGTGCAGTTCCCCCGGAGACAGGCATCCGTCGTGGTGATCTATGTTTCCTAACGTCTGCCTAGAGCATACTACGCATCCACACGAGCGATTATTTAAATTTACGTCGTACGCTGGTAACACGATTCGATCTTCATTGAAGCACGAACGTGTTACCAGCGTAACACGCTGGTAACACGTTCGGTGGGAAAACAAATTTGTCGCATAGTATCGGTGGGAAAACAAAATTGTTTTCCCACCGATACTATGCGACAAAATAAATGCAAGAATCTGCACCGTCTCGCGGCGCGCGAACGAGGAGAGCCCGAGGGGTGGCCACGGTGGCCATGCTTCTATCTTTGATGATAATGATGATAATCATTATCATTATCATGAAAATGGTGGAAAATATGATCAATTCCCCGCTTTGATGATAATGATGATAGCGCGACGGTTGCGCCACCTTTAGTTTGATTTTGACGTCAATAGATAGCGCCAGTTACCACCGTTGCTTGCCGCCAACTACCGCCAACGCCTTCTGTCTTTCTATTCGTTCAGTCACGAATCTAAAATGTCGCAGGTGGAACGGAAAAAGAGCCGCAAGAAGCGTGAAAAAGATGTAAGTATTCCACAGCTTATTAGTCATTCTTGGAGCCAACACTCGGATAGTAACTCAATACCGCCAGCGGATACCAACTGAGCCCAACGCGCGATTTTGGTGCTCGTAATTTCGCAGGGCATAATGCTTCAACGTGACTCGTTGGCATGACAGCTTGGCAGTCGAACTTTTGACACGGTGGTCACGGTTTTGTGGACTCCGTTGCCCTACGACTCGCGCGGACGAACCTTTGTCATGTTCGTCGCTCTCCCATCGCCGGTGTGGTCTGTTTCAAGAAACTCTGTCCCTGTGCTTTTCTCTTGCACCGTCATATCAAAAGTGCCGGCTCTATACCGACGTGTCAGCCCGGAGCCGATCAAATTTCCATTTGGCCGGCAGCATCGGGTTGTGTCGTTTTTATTTTTCGCTATTTTTGCTTTGCCATGTCGTTAGACGCAGGCCTTGGGAAATTCGGCTCCCCCTTTCGTACGGTGTGCTCGTTAGTTTGGAACGAGCGTAATTCACAATTACTCTCATTTGTGTGTGTGTGTGTTTTTTTTTTTGTTTTTTTTTCTCTTCCCCATTACTTGACAGCAAAGTACGTGTCTGTTTCCTAAGAGTCGGAACCCCGAAGCCAGAGCTTCTTTCCATATTCGGTCATTGCTTCTGTCTCGCGAATCCGACAGATCCACGTCGTCTTCGGCGAAGCGCGCATACCGCGTGGTTAGCGTTTTGTTTCCGGAACAATACCCTTATTTCTGCACATGACACAGCGCGGGCCAGCTTCTCTTCGTCCGAGCAGTACATGGAGCGCGTCTTAGCTTGCGTATCGTTTCTTTTTTTTATTTTCTTTCCTTTGTTTTTTTGTCCACGTTGCGTTTGATGCTTTTGGAGTCAACGAAGAAGAAATTTGGCACTCTGCCGAGCTGGCTGAGCGCGTTCTAAACTGGCAAGTCTAAGCTGGCAAGTTCGTAAACAACCGATATTTCCTTAGTAGCTGGTGTTTTACACGTCCGCGTCCCGTGGTACCTGGGGATTCAGTGTCTGGATTTTGCTTATTTTGCCTATGGTATATGGAGTAAAGCTGTCTTCAGTGATGATGCTTCTGAACTCATCTAGATTAAGTGTTTAATAATAATTCACTCAATGTCTCGTTGATTGTTAGACCCTCCTTGTGCAGGGCCGGCTAGCTCAAAACAAAATGAGCCAAGATCTCTTTGTCCTTGTGCACCTCGTTTGAGACTGTCTATAGAGAAACCTCGCTCATTTTCTTTTTGAGCGAAGGACACCCAGGCAGCTCACGGTGGGAGCATCTCGGGAATGTACACAGACTGTTTCGGTTTCTGTGGTGAAAACCTGTTTGCGATAGATCATAACATTTTGGCTAGATAGCAGATTGAAATGTATTTTGAAGACAAGCGAGACTTGGTATGGAGTACATGCGGTATCAAGAAAGGAATGTTCCAAAATATTGCTTCGTTCATAGTGCCCACAGGCAGCTTTGACTCTGTCTCAACTGAAGCTTTGTGGCTTTGCTGAAAGGTGCCTGTGTCGCCTTCTGTGCTTACTAGACAGGGTGAACAAATGCAGCATTTTGTCCTCTCCAGTCACTTGAGGCATGTACACAAGATTCAGGGATGCTTTGCTTGGTCAAAACAAACATACCCTTTGGTGCACCCATTACATGAAAGAATAAAAACCAAGACATGCAGAAAGTTGCTCCCCTGAATTTCTAGTGCTTCCAACCGTTGTGAAAAGGTTTTAACAAAGTAACGAGGGTACAAGAAATTACCTTCTTGTCACCTCTGATCTATACTTTTTTTTATGCTGTTTAGTATTTGGTTTTGGAACGTGTAGAGTTAGTGTTTTTCGGTTGCTTTGATCAATCTTTATTTATTTTGTTTATCTACCTGGTTTAGACCGAACTGACAGTTGTGTGGGATCTGTCACTCACAAATGTTAGTACATTTATTTCAGAGGTTCACACACACTGCACGATACAATTAGCAGATTGGCACTTTCTCACATTTTTTATTTGTAGAGAGTAGTGACAGAGGCCGAATTTTACTGCCCAAGTGTGCAACCATCTGGATGTGCACATTTCGTCCCGTTTTGACAACAATCTTTGAGTTTTGAGAAAGATATGGGAAAATCAACTATTGCTCGTTTGTGATGACTGTCGTGCTCTGTAAGTCCCATGAACAGTTTTTCCAAATAAGGGTCGATGAGAATGACGAAATGGCGTAAACTGGTTTTACACTTCTATCGTTTTCCAGGCAGATGCAGGCCTGGCAGAAAAGCCATCCAAGGTGGAGTATGACGTGGCACGCTATCTCAGAGACAAGCTGCCAGTTAAGAAGACCACGTTGCTCAGCCACAAGGTGGAATACTTCAACGGTGAGGATTTAGCCAGTCGAAGTCAAGGACTGTTGCAGTCTGGAAGGCACTTGCTATCAGTAAAATGAAGGGGGCCTTATTCCTGTCTAGTCTGCTCCAGTCATATAATTGCCTAGTACAAACGATGGTCTAGTTGCCTCATTGTTGTGGCACATGCAAATTAATGCACTAGTGGAATTGAAGGTACCGTGAAACTATCTTTTAAAGTGACAGCCTTATGGGGTGACATTTTGCGGGGGTTTCAGTGTCGGCGTTCATAGTCAGTCATTTCAGCAAAGATGTGAAAATCCTTCATTTCTGCCCTCATGGCGCGAGGAGAGAGTAGCCGGGCATTCTTACTGGCCATGCTGCACGAAGAGGGAAGAGAGGAGATCCTCAGCGACCCCCAATAATGGCGCGACGACGAGGAGGTGTCTTCCCCTGTCGTCTGCTCTTGATAACTTCAAAACAAGCGTTTTCAGACATTCCTCGCATTATACGAAATCCCACTTTGGCAGCATCTAGTTGCTACACAAAATGTTGGGGTTTCAGAAACTTCCACCGCACTTGATTTTAATGTAACTTCTCTACTTCTCAAACCCAACTCGAAACAAAGTGTGTTCTGCCAAAACTTGTCTTCTTGCACCCACCTTGCCCGTAAAGCTTCGCCTCCTTTTTCTGCGTCTGTCCCCCTCTTTGCTGAACGTCGACACTGCTCATCAACACCGAGAAAACCTGTGCCTCCACTTGGGTTGTCACTGCCGCAGACGCTTCCTAGTGGTGCACCTAGTGGTGCAGCCATTACAATCGTAATCCGTCCCAGGAGCGAGTGCGGAGAAAACGGCTGGCTTCCACCACTTGCGACCAGCGTCGCGCCCACACTGACCACCAACGAGAGGTTGGTGGTCAGTTGGCCCACTTACTTTACCGAGCATCCAGTGTCTCGCCTTGCTCACATACCTTATCGGTCACCGAGCAGTTGTGGCTGTCATCAGTGGCATCCACGACGCCGACCCTGACGGCACTTTGCATTAACCACTTTACACCTCCGTCCCCTAGTACGTGACGACACCATTTTGCATTAGTATTGAAAATAAGCACTTCTCACTCTTAAATATGAAACAAGAGTAAATTTTTGTTTACATGCTATGAATTTTGTAAAATGTATGTTATTAAGGGTCACATTCCTTTTCCTTGGCTCCCCATTTCTTCCTTGACCAGGCAGCCTGAGTCCTCAACAAAACAGACAAGGGTTACCTCTTGGCGTAGGATTATCCATTTAGTCACACCAGACACTACCCGGGAACCCGGGCTCCCTCCGAAATCTTTAATTTTGCAGGGGTCCTCCTCTCCTTCCTCCACCTCATACTGCATTTTGTCATGGGCGTGCCCCCTCCCCCCCCCCCTCTCTGAATCAAAATCCTGGCTACGTGCCTGAGTCACACTAGCCAGAGGCTGGATGTAGAGGGGCAGGAAATGAAACTGCAGCTACTTCATAATACGACGTGTAATCTTGGTGCTATCCAGACGCGATAATCGCATGTGGAAGACGAGTATCATCTGCTTTTCAACGGTCTCTTTATTATCTTCTTTGAGCAAAGTGCAGTATTGAACAGCTGCAAAGAAAGACATCCAGATTGTGTCACTAAGTACATTAAAGAAGAGGAAGGGTTCTCCAAACAAATCTGAATTGTCGCCGAAAATTATGGTTTCTCCCAAACACGAGTCCATGCGTAACAGTTTCCGTGACATTGTTACAAACAGACGAGAGTTATTTTGTGCAACGTATATAGTAAAACTCTGACACCATAGAGCGAAAATGCGGCGAACAACTGACCGACTTCACCTGGTGGTGCGTTAGCTCTGCGTGCGGCGCAACAGTCATTGTTCTGACGGCATGCCCAAGGCAAACGCCACCAGGCGAAATTTATCTCCCTGGAGCCCAGTCTCCCCGGAGACCAGAGAAACTGGGCTGTCTCGAGTCTAGTTTGAAACAGCCCTTGAAGACCGGTACCATGGGCGTTCTGAGCAGTGTGGGGTTTCAGCTGCCAAGGCCGTGGACTGCCTCCTGGAGTCCCCCTGGGCAACTGGCAAGCCCAAATACGAGCAGCTCTTCACCACCAGGGAGTCTGTCGTGGACTACATGGACCTGTGAGTAGGCCTTCAGGCATCTCTTGCCTTTGCGCTGTCAAACAATTTCCGAGCCGCTGGCATCTTAATCCAAAGTGCCGGGATCTTCACAGGTGTATTGCTTACGTGGTTGCATTCGTGTGACTAAAGGCTGGTTCACACATTTGCAGCTGCTTGTGACCATGTGTGCCTTACAACCTCTTAAAGGACACCTGAAAATAAAAAAAAGGGGCTAGTTGGTTTTGCATCATGGGGTAATACGCCAAAACAACAGGGACAACAAACGAAGGGAGAACTAGACAGGACGCGGCGTAACTTTCAACTGAATTGCTTATTTGGAAGAAAGAATTTAAAAAAATAAAATAAAATATAAAAGCAGGCACACTTGGCAGAACACCAAATGCCAACGTCATTGGTTCGTCAAATAGTAGAATTCTTTATCAGTCAAGGACAAAGGGGGAGCGCTTATACAAGTATTGTCGTGGTGCTACCTAATCAGGAAGGCTTCGTGAATTTCTCTTGCCGTTTTTGTTTCGTAATGGCCCATGACACAGGTGTCACCAAAGATGGGGCTGCACTTTTCAGAGTTGGGCCCGCAATCGCAGTCCCCGTCTGGCCACTTAGCGGTCCACTGTGACCGTTGCGATGCGGGCCCAACTCTGAAAAGTGCAGCCCCATCTTTGGTGACACCTGTGTCATGGGCCATTACAAAACAAAAACGGCAAGAGAAATTCACGAAGCCTTCCTGATTAGGCCCCACCACGACAATACTTGTATAAGCGGCTCCCTTTTTGTCCTTGACTGATAAAGAATTCTACTATTTGATAAACCAATGATGCTGGCATTTGAGGGGGGTGTGTTTTTAGACAATTTCTTTGGTGTTCTGCCAAGTGTGCCTGCTTTTATATTTTATTTTATTTTTTTAAATTTGTCTTCCAAATAAACAATTTAGTTGAAAGTTACGCTGCATCCTGTCTAGTTCTCCCTTCATTCTTTTTTAGCAGTCTAGTTAAAATGCACGTGTCAAAAAATTAAATTTACACATAAAAAAAAAAAAAAACTTTTTTGACCAATATTGACAACGTGAGACGGAACTTATACCTCTGTCAGACGGCATTCTAAAGATCCTTTTCACTAAGCTCCTTTATAAAATCGGCTCGCGATGTGGAGTGCGCACGTGCGTTACGGCGTGCGCTGGTTCGCCGATTTTATAAAGGAGCTTAGTGAAAAGGATCTTTAGAACGCCGTCTGACAGGGGTATTAGTCCGCAGTCACCTCCTTTTCACCTGTTTTCTGTCTGCATTTTGGACGCGTGGAGGAGAGGTGGATTGGCTTCACCTTCATGACTGACATGGTCATTCCGGAATAACCCGTGGTGTCATGGGCTTTGCATGCAGAATTTCCAGTAAATCCCTCACCATCAATATTGCTAGAAAAAAATATTTTTTTGCGTAAAATTTATTTTTTGACACGCATGTCCCATTCAGCTTATCTGGATGCCATTTTACTTAAAGCCAACATGGCGGTCGGCATTTATTTAGTTTATTTACCGAGGTCATGGTCGGGTGTAGTTCTGAACAAAGTTTCAGGCAAAAATAATGCCGTGTACTTCACTAAGTGAGGAGGTTGCCCCAAGTACCGCTGAAAATGTTTGTTTAACTGAAACTTGTTTTCATTGAATACAATTACGTTTCGGCGCGGGATTTCCCTAAAATTCGCTTATCTGAATAGTTTGTTGAAGCAGCGTTCGTTCAAGTGAAGTTTTACTGTATTCCTATTTTGCCTGACCTGTCTGCAACAGAAAGCAACAACAGTGGCTCAAACATATCATGCACAATTCCGTTTAGTCCACATATGCAGCACTTTTTGCGAATGGTTGGCAACATTTGTTGGGAAAGCCGGGAGATGACTGACGATTTCGTAAAAGGAAATTAACCGTCGGTGACGCCTGGATTCTGGCTGCATCTGACGACGGACTGGAATTACGACACGTAGCGATTTGAAACTTTCGGCTAACCCAGCCCGTCGCCAACTGCCGCATTAAGCTCGATGCCCGAACTGGCAAACGTTTGTCCGTTGGTGGTGCACGTAGGCCAGCTCGGACAAGCCCCTCCGTCTTGTTTTGAGCAGGGACGGTGCTTTCTCCCCGTGTGTGCAGGCTGCTGCAGCACAAGTTCTTCCACCGGGCCAAGAAGATCATAGTGACCAAGACAAAGAAGAAGAAGGACGAGGAGGGGGACGGAGGCACGCCCAAGGCGGCCCGGGAAAGGAGAGCCAGGGCCGACGGGGACGAGGGGGCCAAGGACTCCGACGACCGCAAGGTGAGAAACTGGCTGGCGCTGGGCTCATCGAGCTTTTCTAGCTTTCTAGTAATCAACCACTCAAAAGCACTCTGTGAAAAAAAAAAAAAAAAAATCATAAAAAAAACACTTTTGGATCTGTGTTGCTTATGTAGTAATAGCTTGCTACTGCAAAATATTTTGCAAAAATAGTTGCACAATAGTATTGCTTTCTTCTTTAGCATTAGTGTAAAAAAGAGGTTATAGTCAGATACAATGTAAGGAGAAAAAGGGTGCACACCAAAAAAAGCTGTTCTGGAAAGGAGGTCGCTCCTCTCCACTTCAGCTTCCCTAGTTTTCGCCCTTTTCCCCTCGCACTGTCTTTCTTATGTTGTATCTGGCTGTAATATTCGTTTGCCGAGCCACTGTTCCTGCTCGTGATTGCAAGTGTCGTCGTCGTCGTTGCTGTGGAAACCCTACAGCTCTTTTGTTTCGGGAATCGGTACGCTTTGGAAGATGGCGTCACCTGCACCCGGTGAAATGGGGACGCACAAATCAGTTTCCAAATGTATCGCACCACTACCTGCCGAGCAGCTCTGAGGCTCTGGAAGAATTAACTTACCTCGACAGAAATTAAAAAGATTATGCTCATTTTTTTTACGTACGGTGTTTGTCTACAAGCGACACACAGTATTGGTGCACCAGCCAGCAGATGGTGGCTGTGGTCCACAAGGGACGTGCTCGTAGGCCATTGCATGGCTAAATACAATAGACACCATAACCGGACAAACCATCTTTTTTTTACAGCGATAGCTTTTTATGGGGATCTTCCCACCACTGGAAACGACATCCGCTGTTGATGTTGTAGTTGACGTTGCAAGGCGTCCGTCGTCGGTGTTGCCAAATCCATAAAAAAGATTGGCCGCCGCCTGCGGAAGTTGAACCTGGGTCCGCTGCGTGCAAGGCGGACGTGTTGCCTCTGTGCTACACTACAGCGCAAACAACCTGCTCCATCCGTAGGGCTTTTGTAGTGCCCGATGCTTACTGCATGCGCTCTCTGGAAAGGAAAATAGCCGAAAACAAAATGACATCGTAGCGCTGTCATTGTGCGTACCAGGCGTGTCTCCTGGCACTGTAGTGTGCCAGGACACGTTTCAAAACAAAAAGAAACAAAAGCATTGGAACAAAATGGGATGCTTTTGTTCACTCAACCCACGGTGCGTTAATGTGACACCAACGCTTGCTGTGACGTAGCTATCGCTGTGACTGGACTGTAGATTAACACAGGACTAGCTGGGATTTTTTTATCTGTTCAATGTGTTTTATTAGGAGTGAGTAAAAAGAAAGAGGGGGGGGGTGCAGCCCTTGACTTTTAGCTATTGGTTACTGAGGGGAGGAAGGGCAGTGGGTTAGGCGCAGTAGGCCAGCTTGGCCGACTGCTCCAGAATGTATTTTTAGCTGCCTCAAAAGGGCCCGTGACAATCACATATCTGGGCTGCTCTTGGAAATTTTTGTATGGGATCAGGGGAAAATTAGATCAACTATCCACGTTACTACTTGGCAATTTTGTGAACTGCATTAATGGTCGAGGGAATAGTAATCTACCCCTTGTGTCATATCCGTATAAAAAAAGAAAAGTCTAGCAACAATAATAAGTTGTAAGAGGAAATGTCCCTTCCTCGGGGGTTCTCAAACTCTTCGATCTCGAGGTCTTGGTGTTGACGCAGTAAAGCAGTGCAGAAGCCGACAGACCTTGTCAACAATTATGTTTGGCTCTTAGCTATATTCATAAATGGGTGGCTCAGATCTTCTAAAACGGTGCTTAAAGTGGAAAAATGCATGCTTAAAGGTTAACTCCAGTCGAAAACGAAACCAAAATAAATGACTGGTATCGGTTTAGTGGCACAAAATGTCATCAGTGCCGAAATATTACTTCAGAGTGAAGCTGCGTACTCCACTAAAACCGATTTTAAAAATGCGACCAGCTGTTCTTTAACAGACGGCAAGCTTTTAGTCAAGGAACACTGGCGCAATATCCTTGTGACGTCACGCCGCAGTGGAGCTGCGGTTCATTGGTTGTACCCGCGTACCGCAGCACTCTTGTGATGTCACGTCGCGGCCATACGGCTGATGATCAGTGTTGCCATCCCTCTAGCAGATAGTTTCAATTTTGTCGTCGGTGCCCGCAACCAAACCTTGAGCCCTGATATTTATAAAAGTACACATAATATCGAGAAGAAAGAAAAAGTATACCTTGTATTTTAAACACTCTGCTTTAGCTGAGAACAGTCATAATCCCAAATTCAAGAATATTGACCGGAGTTGGAGTTGTCCCTTATGCCTTTGATGGTTGTCGGCTTACATGTACAGCCGCGATTACACATTTGAAAGTGCCCGCCTAGATGCGAAACCACACACATTATGGTAGGTGCTGGTATTTGTTATGTATTTGGGGACTATAGACATTATATTTGCACGGTGTTCCACTTCGCTGAGGCTATACATAGCTATAAAGTCAGAAGCTCAACGCGCATGACACACGGGAGATGGTCGATTCGAATGTCGGCTGCTGGCTGAAGTGGCAATTGGAGCACCGGCTCTTCCGCATTAGCCTTCTGCGCTTTTCAAAATTGAACTCAGAAGATGATAGCTTACCATCCGATAGCGAAGCTCTGTAAAGTACCTCCGGTTTAGAATCTGAAACTGCCGAAATCTTGGGGAACCGGATGCACCAAAATGAAACCAATTAACTGTAAGAAAGGCGACAATTTTTCGCCTTCAATATTTACATTTGATGCACCTAAACTTAAACAGCCTACGAACCCTGGACATGTTTCTGCTAGATAGTTACAAAGTAACCTGCACATTGACTTTTCCTTTATGCTATACCATTCCAAACAAAACCCAACTGCTGGGAAACATTGGTTGGGGAAAAAACTCGACCGAAGGGTTAAAGGTCGACGTACAACCTTGGTTTTCTGCAGGTAAGATGATCCTCTTAGTGCCTTCCTCTCCTGTGAGGGGAGCTGTGTAGGAGCAAGTTGAAGGCAAAGAAAATATGCAAAAGAAGGGAGTGAGGAAGAGTGCACAAAGCATACGTCTCCTTTTAAGGGTAAGGACGGTCGAGGAAATTTGAGAGCTCAGTCATTCTATGAGGATACACTGGTGGAAGGTTTTGAGGAAGCTGGTTTAAGAGCCCTTGATATAGCTCAGGAGTGGCCAAACCGCTGCTCACGAGCGTGAGGCTTGCTGCTCTCTGGTAAACTCTCTCCCCCCCCCTTTCCCCCCAAGTTCATATAGGAAAAAAAATGCAACTTGCATTTTGTCAGCTTTGGCCATCATACGCATATTACATAAGGATCTCGTTTTACGAATGGCAACTCACAATACGGGAACATATTGCGCAATTGCTTCACAAGTGGGATTTGCTATAGCCACCAACTAAAAAGAAAACAATCAAAAAAGTTACTCCTCCCTTTTTTTTTTTTTTTTTTTGGCTTTTCACCTAAATGGTTTTCTTTTATGGCACTTTGAAAAAGTCTGTTTGTTCACACCTGCAATATCTATTTCTGTTTTCAGCTTTTTTGCTGAGCGGAACAGATTTTTAATCAGCCAATTTCCATGGAGTTCAATAAGGTTTGGCTGTAACGAAAAACCGACACCGAAAAGTGTTACTCCCAAAGGAACCTTATCAAAAGGCTCGAGTCTCTTGACACGACTGGAACTCGCCTTGAGATTGTGAGCCAAGTGCTTTACCGACTGAGCTATTTAGGGTCGGGGGTCCGATCATGCAAAAGCGAAGTCACTCGCGCGCTTCGCGGCCTTTCTTGTCGTGTTGCGCCATCTCACGGCGCATGTCAGAACTGAGAGCCAATCTTCGTTATGCGCTGCCATTCAGATGCCCTTCTCTCCTTCCCTGGAAGGCCTATCGCGCATTCTGTGCTTACCAGTCTTTATGATCATGATCGAGCTTGTATAATTTTTTTCTGTATTGTAGGATGTTGAGGAAAAGACGAAGAGGCTGAAGCTGGACATGCACCTGGAGCAGTTCTTCGTTGACGCCAATGAGGCAAGTTCCCACTCTCGCTGTTCTATTGAGTGGCGAGCAGAGAGTGGACTACAAAGTCCTCGCTTTTTTGCGCCATTGTCTTTCAAGTGCAACCATGTGCGCATACAACTCGGCTCTATTACAGTGAATTCAGAAAGAGCGAGGCAGGGGGTGTGATGCAAGTAATTCTTTATGTTCCTTTTGTTTTTTGGGCTGCTTTGATTTTCTGCAGTGTGTTTTGCCAAGGTCCGCAGGCGGTAGTACCTTGAGAGTGCGACATTCTGTCACCATCTTTTCGAGATCGAGACATCTGAAAACGATCGGCTAATACTGTTTTTTTTTTAACTGCTGTAGACACGCTCTTATAGTATGTTTGCCGGTGCAAGCATGAGTTGGCGCATGCACTAGGTCTTTTGGATAAATCTAGCTTTTCTGCATCAGAGCTGGAACCTGAGAGAAAAAGAGGGCAGAATTTGCCTCGGCCGTTTGTTCTGTTGGCACTGTGGCAGTGAAGCGCAGGTGCCACAAAGAGTCGATTCCCCGTCTGCGTCGTCTTCGTTACGAGCGACCGGTGCTGCGGCACCCGGAGTTGCTCAAGGTACAGTCTCCAGCTGGCACTAAGCAGCAGGCTCTGAGAGAGCACACCGTTGCTCAGTAAAGGAGCAAGCTTGTCTCCGAGGTCTCGGCGAAGTCCTCGAAGGGACTTGAATTGGCTGCGATTTCGGCCTCCCAGGTTACACAGACGAGAGTGTCTCGAAAGCACAGTTTGTACGAGTGTCTGTTTTTCTTCCCGACAGCCCTTTGTGTGGATCTACGACCCGGTTCCTCTCAAGGCATGGATCGTGGGGACATTGCTGGGTGAGTGGGCTTCCTTGTTGCGTGGGTTCCCAAATCTCAAAACCCTTCCCACTCTCAGCATTGATCTTGCAAAGCGTTGCAGAAACGTACGAGCCCTCTAAGCAGTAATTCATGGGCGTGTTCTCATATATTCCAAATGAGGAAAAATGCTAGGCATAAAGGCTAAACTCTTGTCTGTCTACTTCAACTACTTTAGCCTTTGTACTTTGCAAGCTAAATAATATTTTCTTGCTAAAGGCAGAGAGGAAATTTGAGAGGAACCCCTGGGTGTACTCTGGGGAACCTTTGGGTTTCTTGGAGTCCAGTTTGAGAACCCATTGTGTGAGGGCTGTCTAGACAAGGGCAGCATCTCAGGCGAAGAAGTGGAGATGTGTTTGTGTGTTATGTTGTGCGAGTTTAGGATTGCAGAGTTGTGTGCTGTCTACGAGTGTATCTTTAATCGGGCGGTATAGAATAAAAAAGGTTAGTTGGAACTGAATATGTAACGATCAAAACACTGTTTTGATTGTTATACTATTTCATGAGCTTATTCATTCATTTTAACTTTTTAGGTCCTCATTGATGGGTAAAACCTGACCTTAAAGGGCAACTCCGCTCAATTCCGAAAAATTTAGGCTTCCACGTGATTCACATTCACAAAGCACTACTAAACAACTCTACATCTTCGGATTCGCGAAATGTGGAATATTATTTGTGTAATCCTAATTTAAACATCAGCAGATACCGAAACTGAAACTTCGGTTGCGTCAGGCAACATTGGTCTCGGGTCGTCAGAGTCATGGCACGTCACGTCGAACCACGTGGTCTTGTGACGTTCGGGAGGGAGCAAGAAACCGAGCGAGGTCTTTTTTTTTTTTTTTTTTTTATTGGACGCGGGCAGGTTGCTTTGCATGGCGTGTGCGGTGATGGCCCGGGGGCGAGGGGAAAGGGGAGAAGACGAAAGAGGAGAAAAGGAGCGGAGAAACAGACCGATAAGCGCGCAGGGCAGCGCATCCCAGGCGCATCCGTGTTACGGTGATCACGTGAAAGCCCGGTCAGCCAACACCGGGAGGAGAAACTCATGACGTCATCGTTCAATTTCGCTCTGAGAAGTAAAAACAAACAAAACGTGAGAATGACGTATGCATGCCTCTGACGTAGTGGCTCAACGTTGGCCGCTCCATCTCCGTGACCTTGACTGCGCTGGTGATTGCGCCTCACGCCGCACGCTAGAGTTGGCAGATTTCGGCGACTTGGCTCGCTTGAAGGTTTGCTGGCCAGTTTATTAAATATATAAACGGAATTAGATCGTAATATTTGACATGGGGTCTTCCTATATGATACTGAAGAGGGCTACATAGTTTTCTAAATATCAAAAATGAAGCGGAGTTGCCCTTTAAAGGAGCTGTGCAACGATTTTAACATTGAAAGAATTGTCATTTTCTACTTTTTACATTGTTCATCTTGTCACAAAGTATAGAAAACACACCTCCCTCCGTTACGATTCCGCCGCGGAATCACAAGGCAAAAATTAGAATATTCTAAGACCTGCAGCCGCGAGAGGCGGCCATGAGAGCCACGCGGCATGACATCTCTTTAAGTCTGCATATTTTCGATAATTCTGAGAGTTCTTTATACATTTGTGTTGTATCAATTCAATCATATATTTAGCGACGGAAATTTGCCTCGGGAGGTTTATTACTTCCCAGTTATTCAGAGTTCTTTCAAAGAAAGGTTTGAGCCACATAGTCTTGAGATTCTGTTTTTTCTGGAAGAGGTGAGATCTTGATCGGCAAATAGGTTGTCTTTGGGTAAAGACATGGGCGCGCATAGACGTCGGGGGCAGGAGTGCCAACCCGTGGCTCCCGTCGCAGTGGTGGGTGCCGTGGCCGTCTGCCTGTTCCCGCTGTGGCCCCGGACGGTGCGGGACTACGTGTACTACCTGAGCATCGTCACGGCCTTCCTGCTGGGCATCATCATCTCCCTGGCCTTCTGTGAGTGGCGCCTCCCTGCTCGCCCGTCTCCTCTCGAGGCCACACACTCGCGACTGCTTACCACCGTTTGCCACCTTTTACAAAGAGAGAACAGACTGGCCCCGTCTATTGGGTAGCTGCGGAGGCAGCTTCTGTAGGGTCCTATTCTTTCTCTCTTGGCTCGAAAAACCTTCAACAGCGTTATGAACGACCTCTAGAAAGTATGTACATTTCATCCCCCAAGTACCGCAAAACCTTAGCTCTAGTGAAATGTGGTTCCAGGGCCACCTGATAGGTGGCGTCGGTATGCCAGTGTATTCTCTCGTGGTAAGAGATTGCGAGAACTTGGTCCTAAGCAAACGCGATAGTGTGAATGGGCCTTTAGTTCTTTGCACCTGCGCTTCTTGAGCTGCAGTCGTTAAGGCTAGGCTTTGTGCCAAAGTAGACTACAGTATAGACCACTTACAACGTAACCGCTTATAGTGCAGGACCGGGTATAACGCGGTTTTTTTAAACCACCGGTTCGCCTCCCATAGAACTCCATGTAATTACATACCGCTTAAAACGCAGGCGCGCGACGGGAAATACCGGTTATAGTGCGGTTTCTGGCACAGCCCGCCAACCGCGCCGACGACCGGAGCAGCGAGCACGCTTGCCTGTGCGACACTAGATAACGGCGCTGACGGCGCGAGCCGCAAGCGTTGCGCAAGCGGCACTCGCGGGGCAAGGAGGGTGCTCGAAGAAGCGGGAGAAGCGAAGAGAGAGGCTTCAGTTGCCCTAGCGACGGAGGGACGCACGCACGTGTCGTTCACGTGCGTGCGTCCCTCCACTGCGTTGGAAACCAACAACCGCAACGACAGGAGAAGTGTTCGCGCGCGTTGCATGGCCGTCGCGGGCCGGCTGCTTCTATCCGCGAACAAGGCGTCGGTTGTGATCAACGTTGTGATCGTCGTCGTAGACGGCGTGCATCTCATCGTTCCGCGTAAAAGCGCTATCCTTGACTGTGAATTTTCGTCGTGTGTCGCTATGATAACCCGGCACGTATTAGAAGAGAAGATCCACCTACTCGAGCGACGATGTCGTGGCGGCGCTCTCAAGTCGGCAGAAACGCCCGTGTCGTCGTGTTTGTTTACTTCGACTACAGTGATTTCTCAGCATTTGTGTCCTCGAACATCGCCCGGATTTCTTATTTGGCGCATTTCATGCGTGTGCTCAAGTGCAAGGTATTACTGGCGCGTACCGTATGAAGGATGCGAATTTTCACGCGTTTTCATCTCCGGAGAAAAGTGATTAGGGTTAGCAATCCTGAACGTTCGCAACATCCGTCCGCAACCCGCGACGCCGCTAAGAGGCTGCGCCAGCTGCGCCAGGCAAAAGCCGCTCATTTGTTTCAAAATGAGTGACACACTTGAGAGAGAAGTGTACTAGTCTGGTGAAATAAAGACTTTCCTCAAACTAAGCTTTATTTTTCATCTAACATAAAATAAATTCTTTTACAAAGGTAAGTTGTCTGATGGCATGTATTTTGGCCTGAAAAATTGATGTTTTGGTTATAGTGTGGTACCGCTTATAGTGCGGATTTTCGCGACTCCCGCGACATACGTTATATGCGGTCTACACTGTATCAAAATAGTATACTAGTTCCTCGGTGGGCTTGCAGCAGATTGAATGCTACTGAAGCCAGGGGGGCAAGTGAAGCTTCATTTTCGTTCAGCCCGAGCCCTTTCATTGTTGTCTGTCTTTATTAACTCGGGCTGATTACGGATATGTGAGCGCGGAGAATCGTGAAAAAATTGAGCGGCCGCGATTCATACGATTTGGCGAGTTGTACGGCTCCTATGGGACATTACCACCATTGTTACGGCCGGTTGGTTGCCTTTGTTTCCGTTGTAAATCCCCGAATCGAGATGCTACTTACAGGGGTGTACGGCTCTGCAGCAGAAAAGATATTTACACCCTGTAATTCAGAGACCCTAAAATGTAGAAATCAAAGATTTTCAATTTGTACTCTACTGCAACCTGCCAAAACGGAGTTTTCTTTCATTTCTTTCTCTGCACTGGTCGAACGGAGGTGGAAGGAGGGTCCTTCGTACGGACTTGAGTGCAGAGGCTAATACACAATGAGCGTCGAGAAATCTAGGTCACTGCGTCTTAATGGAGCGAACAGGATCCACAGCTTCCTGGCTGTAGGTCCAGTAGTGTTCACATTCCTGATGAGGAGGTTGCATAAAATATTGCTGGAGTGGACACTGTGCTCTTCGGTGAAGTTGGTGTGCTCCTGCCAAGACTGCAAAGTTCCGGCCGATCGAATGCTTTGTGCCGCCATCTTGACAAAGGGCACGGGACACTCCAGACACCGGTCTGCAGGGTCGGCGCTGCGGCTCATTTGGCTCGGAAGTATATACGAGTATAGACGTAGTGGCATGCAACACAAATACAACTAGCCTAGTTGGTTTCTGCACTATTTACGGATGTACAGAATCTCGGTCGGGCTTGGCCCCATGGAGGTAGGAAGCTTCTGAAGGCAGCATGATGCCAGGAAAGTGAAGTCGGGGGAGACTTCTGGCTTGGAAGGACACGCACCCAACGATGACCAAAACCGAGAGACGCTATTGGACGAAAGGGAGAGCTAATTTGGCGCCAACGGCTGTTTTGGTCACCCTTGGGGGCATTCCCACCGGCTGCGAACGCTAGTTCTGGCTTCCATCTTGGTTTTCTCAGTTGGCTGACGTGAGCCGTTATGTCTTCTCTTTCTACCTCATATTGGCCCCCTTCCGACTGGTATATATTAGAGCCACTGAATAAGCTAGAATATCGGCTCTCCCTTCTCCAATTTTCTTGAGGGTGCCGCCGTCTTGGTGCTTAATGCTTTGCGCCATAAAGAAGAACAACAGCATCTTGGTGCTTAATGCAAAGCGTTTGCTCTGTCGTGGATCATTTTCACTTTTCTAGAGGATGAAAACCCGTTTCCTGCAACTTCAGATAAAGCTTCGCATAATTGGCCACAATGATTTTGAGCGCCGAGATGGCTCAAGTGTCCTTACTCTCGAGTGTAGCTCATTCAGTGGCTCTAGTGCATACAGCCGACCTCCGCTCCAATGATCTCTTGTGCGACCTCTTTGGCTCCTAGGAAATTTGTGCGGTGTAATTTCGAAAAAGTAGATGTGGTGGGGCGGCGTTCCCTGATGCACGTCTCCCCGGGGCAGTGCGGCACGTCCTGTTTGTGGTGATCTGGGCGGTCACCCTGGGCCGGCACCACTTCTGGCTCCTGCCCAACCTGACGGAGGACGTGGGCTTCCTGGACTCCTTCTGGCCCATCTACCAGTACGAGTACCGTGGGCCCGTCAAGGCGGCCGACGAGGACGGCCCGCCCGGCGACGACGACGCCAAGCCCGACCAGCCGGAGGCCGGCGACGGCAATGGCTTCGAGTTGCTCGACCACCCGGACAAGGAGAAGCAGTCTTGAGGACCGCTTCTTTGTTTGCCAAAAGCAATTTTTTTTTTTTTATGCAATTTGGGGAACGGCGGCGCGTATGTGCCTTCCGGCAGCAGGAACGCCCAGACTCATTAACGGCAACTGATGGCGTGGCTGCAGCTTTAGCCGTCGCGGACAGGTCGGTGGGAACAAGAACTACTAGAAGCTATTCTTGAGGCAACGTCTACGGCTGTGACGACGACTGCATTAAGTCGACAGTTGCGACTCTTACAAAAGTTAAATAAGGTATCGCAGATGGGTGCGACATGGCATCCGAAACTTCAGCTAGGGCTATCACCGTGAGGGACAACAGTTAAGTTGTCAATTGTGGTTTGGGACAAGGACAGTCGAATAAGGAAGACTGTCTAGATTCCTTCCTTTCAAAGCAGTTTGCAGCTCTTGGTGTAGAAGCAAAACGACTCAGCAAAGTTAGGCAGCGAGGACGACTGAAAATGGGTTTGCCACCATTTCCGGGAAGTCTGTCCGGCTGCGTCAAGGGCAGCCTCACTTTTAGGCAGTTCGTGCCTGCTGCTGTCGGCTCTGGAGCTTTGGATGAAGGAGCCCTTTCTTAGGGTGCAGTTGACTGTGCCCATGTCAACGCCTATTGGTGACAACTTTCTCGACTGTCTCTGTCACTAGAAGTTGGTCGCAACTGCCGCCGGCCGTGTTCGTAAAGAAGAGGCACCTACGTTTTAAACAGCATCCACGTCCTGCCATGCAAACTGCAGACGTCAAGGCTTCGTAACACATTCGTGTTCGGGCTAAAGAAAAACTTTTAAAAAAAATTTTCACAACATGCAGAAGTTTTTTAACCGTCAGAGTCTCTTCTTTCCTGCTGCTGGAAATGGCCTTTTTCATGGAATGTGGGATTGGGGTGGGAGGTTGGGTAGGGTAATTACAGGAAATGTAAAATTTAATTTCACCACTTAAGGTCCCCAGCACATTTCCTTCGTTAACAGGGCGGAACTAGAATTTATAAATGTAGGGACCGTCATTGAAGAGAAGCGATTTTTCTTGTTATTCTTTGTCTTCTTGCATCTCCTTTACCACTTTATCTTATTAAAACTGTATTTCACCTGTGTTGGAGTTCCAGTTATCCATAGCCTGTTTCACTTTTGACCTCATTTCCCCCAAGGGGGCACAGCAATCCTAAGAGTTAAAGCAGCAAGCATTAAGGGTCTTATTACTCATTTTCCAGTACCATTATAAAGATTGCACCTTTTGTTGTTGCCCTTGGTCTGATCATCTTGATGGAGAATAATGGTGCTTGCAGGTCCAGGAAGAATCTTGTGAAATGTTTACCTCGTAACTCGCTTGAGCGGGCTTGCCCCAGGTGAGCCGACAAATATGGAAGGAGTTGGCTTCTGTTTTGGGGCATTCTTTTTGGCACTTGTTGCAACCTCTTCTTTCAAAAGCATGGCCACATGCACTTGTACCATCTCTGAGTGGGAACATTGTGTGTAATAAAACTGTACATATACAGCAAGCTTGTGGATCGAATGTCCTTGTTATCCGACCCAGTCACATAACATTGTTTTTCTTTTTTTTCGTTTTATTGTGAATGCAGTGTAGAATGCCATTCTCTGCATTTGGTTGCTGCTTGCTCTGTAGAAGTTTAAAATAGCCACCAGGAAAAGGCGTAATGGTTTCTCAGCAGTCTTCCACACTTCAATGAAACTTCAATCGAACCACTAGTGTTTCCAAATTCACAGCCTGGCACGCGTGTGTTTGTCGCTATGGAACACGAGCATATCACACACCAAACGCATGAATGCTGAAAATTCCGTCAGCCAAAAGCGGGTTACTGTGGCATTGAATGCTTCAGGGAGACTACATTTTCCTCCGATCATTTGCATTAGACAGCGCCGCTGCGTCAATTCCTCCCTTAGCGGCGTGGGCAGCTCTCGTCCAAGAGAATGCATGCACATCGCATTGTCCACGCATTCGCGCGGTGTCAAGAGAGAGGGCTGTCGTCGACACTTTGAAAGACAGTACTCGCCGAGACATCAAAGTAAAAAAAAAATTCACACAACTTTTTTTTTTTTTTTTAAGAAGTAGCGACAACCACTGTTGTGCGAACTTTCGAGACACGTGCGATTGCCAAACCGCCATTTGCTTCCAAGAGCCTTGCGAGGCGCATGCATTGCGGGTTGGCGCATCCGACGCCACTTGCAAAGCCTTGGCAAGCCCAACATAAAACGAATTGTGTTTGTGTGTATGTTTATACAGCCTGAAGTTTGCACAACGGGCAACTTGTCTCTCAGCTGTAGATAAGCAATTTAGCCAGTGCGATACAACCGCTAGCCTGGGGTCTTCAACGTGCACCACGCAGTTGTGATACGCGACCGCACGCCGGTGCGATGTTCATCCAGATCGAAACGGGCAGGGGTGGGGATTGAACCCAGGATTCCTGGGTTCTGCAGCGCGAGCTTTTGCTCCACGTGCTCCGAGCTGGTGTGTCGCTGGATTGCCACGGCATCGGCCGCAGTCTGTTTGAAAGTGAAACTTGAAAACGCTGCGCGCGTGAGGCATTGCGATTTGCACGTTGCCACGGCATCGCTACGTCATACATCCGTTGCCTCTTACGGGTCCCATTTATTGTGCGGTGCAGCCGACATAATTCACACCGGCCAGGAAATCTCGCCGACGGGCAATCTCGCCATGGAGGAACCTCTCGCCCGCATGTCGTCTGCTCCGCCGAGTGGGCGGAGCAGCCGGAGCCAGCCGGAGCCTAGCATCCGGCTGGCGTACAAACTCTGTTTAAAATCGCGTCATTTTGGGAATTTCAAGCGCAGATGCGTAGATTTTGATATGCCAGTTATCGTATATTACTATGCTAGATAAAAAAGACTAACAGAGTCCGATTGCGCTGTTATCTGCGTGCAAATAAAAAAAAAATAGGGAAAACTGTGTCACACTGGCCGGTCTCTACGGCGAAAAGTAATCCGGTGGCTCTACCTTTTCTACTATACAAAGCTCGTACTGGTGTAAGCCTTTAGCGACCAGGAGTGGATGTCTGATGTAATGAAAAAGTGCTCTCCTGCCGCAATACACGCCGTAGTTGAGGGTAGTATTGCCGGCTGACTCAACTGCTATTTAAGTAACGAAAAAAAAAGATATGTCACTTGATCATTTACCGAAGTAGAACAACAGAGAGCTCTAGGCTGATTTTGGAGTAGCCATAACTATTCTAAGAACGGGAACCACTTCACAACGGCAGCCACGAGCGAGAGTTCGATGTTCCGTAGGGTCGGCATTTTGAGTTGGAGTCATTCAATATCATGTCACTTTTACAAACACTCCCCCGAGTTCATTCACGCTCATATCACAAATTTTTCCACCATCAAAAAAAAAACAAAAAAACATGAGTCAGATCAAGAATTTTACCAAGGCCTCAAATTCACCAAGACTTATCTCGGAGAGATTATTAATATCACTGATATCACAGGAGTCAATCTCAAAAAATATCCCCAGAGTCAAACTCAAAAGATATCAACTCGAGTAGGTCTCAAAATAAAAATATATCACCCGAGTCAAACTCAAAATAAAAATATATCACCCGAGTCAAACTCAAAACAAATATATATCATTAGAGTCAAACTCAAAATATATCAACCGAGTCAAACTCAAAATATATCACTAGAGTCAAACTCAAAATATATCACCCCAGTCAAATTCAAAATATATCACCGGAGTCAAACTCAAAACATATCATCGGAGTCAAACTCAAAATATATCATCCGAGTCAAACTCAAAAAGATATCACGAACTATCACTGATATCACAGGAGTCAAACTAAAAAAATATCATTTCTATCACCGGAGTCAGTTCACTCACGGGATCACGTGACATCTCTCTGAACTTGCTGGGCTGGCCTGTCCTTCCCCGCGCGGGAAGAGGCAGTCACACCCTTCTCCGCTCAGGCGAATTAGCGTCCGGTGGGGTGGAAGGGAGAGGGGGGTTCTCCGGCTTGCTTTTCTATGGCGACTGCGGAGAACGCTTAGGGAAGACAGCAGAGACGCCGCTCGTTTTGCTCTTTTATTTTGTTTACTTTCTTTGATTCTTGCGATTAAGAGCCAACGCCCGTGTTTTGATCTTTTTTGCCTGTTTTGTGAAGGGCCTGAGAGGAAGCGTGTTTAGGCGACCACCGCAGTAAGGAAGTATTCGTCTGGTTGTGCTTGTTAATTTTAGAGGTTGTTAATCTTAGTTAATCTTATTTTTGTTTGTTTTTGTATTAGGTTGGAATACGGTGGCAAATAAAACAGCGTCGATGCAAAAAGAGACGGCCCATATCATTAGTGGCACGCCAGAGAAAGGATCGTAGCGTTAGCGTATATGTGGTCTCGGCAAACAGGAAGGAGGTAGGAAAATTTTAAAAAGAGTCACGCAAAATGCTGAAAGCTATCCACGCCTCCAGAAAGGCAAACCGCACAAAACATTCTAAGTTTAAAGCTGTATAGTTAGGGTCTCGTGCCTAATTCATCCTCCTGCATCAAAATCGCTGGTCGCGCTGAGATAAAGCTTGAAGCTGTCGAGTGAAAGTCTGAAAACACTTTACTGGAGGCGCGAATACACATCGCTAATTGCCGGCGCCTCGCCCCACATTGACATTTCTACAACTGTTAGGTATAAAAGGTCCATAAAGTGTATGTACCGTATAATGCGAAGCCATTCCGTACAGCGTTTATTTTACCTCTACACCGCACAAAAAGGCACATCCTGTCGGGAATGCTAAAACCACTTTGCAGAGAAACTGCGTCGATCACCGAACCCGATGCAGCCCCCACCACTTTGAATATCACAATTCAACGGCGAGGGGGCACTTGTAATCATCAAATCGAGTTCACGCTATTCCAACGGGAAGGAGCCGGATTCACTGGGTTCACTGAAGAGGATTGTGAGCACCCACTTTCGCTGATTCATCGGTGCGTCTCACTGTTACCCGCATTCTTGCGCTTCGTTAGCCCTTGTTGGCTGCGTCCTCCGTGTTTATGCTGGTTTAGCATCCTGGCATCAGTGATCACCGTCCACCTCGCGCTGTCTTGATAAGGATTCACGGGAACCACTTCCCGCAGCAGCCAAATGTCTGCTTCCACGGTGGATCGAAGATTTTCTTTTAGGCCGCTTCGAGCTCGCCTTGACCGGCCCGCCATTTTGGAAAGCTCTGAGTCGTGCTGAATAGTTCCCATTTGCGCGAACGGTTCCAGCGCCATGAGTCTTAACGATTTGAGCAAACTGTTGCCCAGCTCCCGAAGGACTCGCAGGCGCATGCGCAGTGGCGTCGGCGAGTCGTGTTGGGGTGAACCGTTCGCCTCGAAACGACTCACTTAAACTCCCTAATGTGCCTCACGCACTAGTGATACAAGGACGCGTGCCTGCACGATGCTGATCCAGATCGAAACGGGCAGAGGCGAGAACTCGACAGATACCTGAAGATTATAATTATATCTTCTTTCGTTGTTATTTAAAAAAAAAAAAAAACTTTAACGAGATGCACTCAGGAATGCGTATGTGTGCGCACTGCGCACGTGTCCGTCAGGTCTGTCTTTTTTCTGCTATCGTGTTTGTGCGCGTATAAAAGGTCTGCCGCAGGTTTTCTGTTTGTGGAGCGTTAAAAACTAAAAATTGCCGTTGCTGCTTTAGTCAGCGAAGTGGGGATCAGGAATCGCAACGATGATTAAGCGATTAGTTGTTTTGTGTTAAATTTTATGAGATAGAGCTGATCCGTCATACTTTTCACGCATTGCATAAGCGACACTTATTATGCAGACGAATCTTTAAAGCAAAATGGTTCCTTCCGATCCGTATATAGTTCAAAGAGCAATAAAATGAAGAGACGGGCTTGTTGGTACATCATTAATGTTTCATGCAGCAGCTAGCCTATCAAAGATATATGTGGACATCATTGAGCGAGCTCTTGCTGAGCTTTCGTGCCCAGTCGCTGAGATGCGTGCTTACCCAAGGGTTACACTTTTGCGTTTCATCTGTTAACCCTAGCGCACGGCACCAACGGCTCATTGTGTTTTCCGAAAGCACAAGATAAAGCCAAATTAGCCGCTGAAATGATATGACGGCGTCCACAGCCGTAGTGATCCGCGCGAACACTTGTACAGTTGCCTGGATTGGGAAACTCGATTGGGATATTAATTTAAAACGGGTACGTTAACCCGAAAGGCTGTGGTCAATAATCTGGTGGCATCTTTACAGGCAAGTCTAATATGCAACCGCCTTGAACACAGCCGTAGTTATTTCAATACTACTTTTATATATTTGGCTGTTAGCGTACGTAAAGAAAGCGAGCATAAGCCATCAGGTTTGTTCATAATGCAATCAAAATAAAAACAGTCTTGAAGCCTTTGTTATTGTGGCGGCGTCTGTAGTAAACGCCTTTGAAATACGTGGAGCTGTCAGAACTCAAAAGACAAGATTGCACCAAAAAAGAAAAAAAGTCTGCAGGCACTCCGAAATACAGAATAAGAAAAAAAA